GTCCCTGGGACTCTGGCTTTAGGCACAATGTCCAGCACACATTCCTCCTTCATCATCAAAAGCCAATGAGATCGGCATAGTTACAAAGTTCCCTTATGTTTTTAATGAGAAGAGTTATTTACAAAAAGAGACCATTTGACAAGTACTGTGCATAAGCAATTCACACCAGTGCATGTTACCCAAGTTCCCTTCCCTCTGAGCCCCAAGCTGTCACGGCTGTGAGCCACGCAAATAAGCTCCTCCCTGTCATCCAAGTGGGCTTCCCAGAAGATAATCCCAGTGACTGAGTGGTTCCTGCCTCCCTCCTCCAGCCACTTTTGTGAAATGTGCAAGCAGCGGTGTCTTCTGTGGAAGCAGGGATAAAGTGGTGGCTCTGAGTCAATTTCTTCTGGGTCCCTGTTAATGAGACACAGCAGTTGCACAAGGGGCAGGTCATAGGTGGTTGTGGCTCACAGACACTCTGGGTTCCAACAGGGCCTAACAGAGATGTCCAAATCCAGGATCACCTTCCCATACTTGATCGGACCCATAACACACCCGGTTCTGCCCCCATCATCCTCTGGTCAAGTATCTGAGTTCAAGGTCATTTCTGAACTGAGGATTCTCACATCTCATTAGGCCTGTGTGGCTCAGATCTTTATTTCAGGCTTGGGAATCAAGGGCCAGCTGCACCCGTTGTCAGTCCCATTACGGCTGGAGGTCCACCGGGTCCCCTTATGGCTGGAGGTCTGCTGGGTCCCATTGCAGCTGGAGGTCCGCCACATCCCTTTATGGCTGGAGGTCCGCCTGGTCCCCTTAAGGCTGGAGGTCCGCTGGGTCCCATTGTGGCTGGAGGTCCGCCACATCCCTTTATGGCTGGAGGTCCACCGGGTCCCCTTACGGCTGGAGGTCCACCGGGTCCCATTAAGGCTGGAGTTCCGCCGGGTCCTATTGTGGCTGGAGGTCCGCCGGGTCCCTTTACAGCTAGAGGTCTGCACATGAAGTCCTGCACAGCTCTTGGGCCTTCTGGTGAAAAGCTGACTGGACTCACACTTGAAAAAAGAGCTCAGCCTGTGGATGTTAGTGACACCCACCCTGGTAGGAAATGCAAACGTAAGGCTGATTTTGTTTCTTGGAGTTTTCAAATTTATTTTAAAGTTGGGGTGAAAAGCACTGGGTTTTTGTGCACTGAGTGAAGGGCAATGCTTCATTATTTATGCGAAGTGCATCAACAAAGTGACATCGAAAGTTTTTGCCATATTTTCCTCTCTGTAGTTTCTCCAAGTGAGATATGTCCAGAAGCAGCTTTCCTGTGATGTGCCTCAAAATAAATGGAAAGAAAGAAACGCAGCAGATGGCTTGGATTAAATCTGAACAGTGATAAATTCTGCTTTTAGGACAGCTGGGTAATGTACTCTTTGCTCAAAAACATGTTTGATCTGAAACACAAAAACAATCTTATGGTTTCCATGAAAAATGAAAGAAAAACGAGGCTGAATAGTGGAGTAAATTGCTAGTTTTCTCCCCAGCATGTTCCGGGCTTCTTTGGGAGCCATATGCTCTGTTTGATGTAAATGAGACAGAACTGAAATTAAAAATTTTTACATTTAAAAGTAGTGACCAAACCTATTTATGAATGCCTTCAAGAAAATAAAGAATTATTATTAGCCCTAAGGTTTAGGGTTAAAAAAATAAAGTTTGTCTTAATGCTGAACAACTTGGGGCCACCTTCATTTTCAGATCTGTGAAATATTCTCAAGCAACATATGCTGAAACTGGAGACCAAGTTACTGATGAGGGAGGTAGGTTGGTTCTTGGCAGTCAAGTCTGGCATTAATAATCAAGCCTCATCACAGAAATACTTAAATCCACTTTTCACAGAATTATCTACTGAAAAGTATCACTAAAATGCAATTTTGCTAGAATACATTAATTTTTCAAGCTGACTGAATCTTACTAAGAGATTGAAAACTACAAAGGAGCTGGACTATAAGAAAATGAATTGCAGTCAACCTTTTAAGAAATGCAGATTGTGTGGTTCAATTCATTCACTTGAGAAAAAAAAAAAAGGAAATGCAGATCAGAATGCAAATCCGAGGTAGGTTCTTAAACTGCAAAAGACAGCATCCACGTCTCTGAAAAAGGCTCGGGCTGTTTGGCCAGCCTGGCTGGGAGAGTTGGAAGGTGAGAAGTACCAACAAGCCCCATCCACGGCAGCTTCCAGTACCATCTGATTTTCTGAATTACAAATCTGGACATGGAATTGAGCCGGAAAACTCTGAATGCTGCCAGATTCTCATTTCAGATGCACACACATACTCTTGCATGTCTCAAAGAAAGTAAAATAAAAGGAAGATAGAAGGACAAAGAAGGAAAAGGAGCCCTCTGCTCCACATGAAAGAGCAAGCACCATCTGAGGGTCTCAGCAGCTGCACTGGACATTATACCAGGACTGGAACTGCCAGCTTCAGGGACCACCATTCGGACATGGTCTCAATAATCTTCCCGAGCTCGGCCAGCTCACGGGAGCTCAAGCTTACAAGTAGTTGGTGAGTAATCCTTATGGTCAGTAGAGATGAAGAAAGTCTTTAAGGCCACTGCCCACTCCTGCTGTTCTCCAGAGGCAAAGCGAGCAGAGGATGATGATGGCAAGTTGGGGTCCAGGCCAGTTTCCCAGACAGGAACCACGGCCACTAAACCAGAGACCACAGGAGTTCTTGCCCTGCTGCTCAGCCCGGGGTCCAGGCCAGTTTCCCAGACAGGAACCACAGCCACTAGACCAGAGACCATAGGAGTTCTTTCACTGCTGCTCAGCCCGGGGTCCAGGCCAGTTTCCCAGACAGGAACCACGGCCACTAGACCAGAGACCACAGGAGTTCTTTCCCTGCTGCTCAGCCCGAAGCAACAAGAAAAAGGAAGCCTGAAGTGACGCCACAAAATGCAAATTTATCTTCAACATTGTCACTTGTTAAGACAGCAAAGAAAAGAGCCTTGAGCCATGAATAAACTGTATAAATCGAATCATTTGGGAAACAAGCAAGAGACCCAAGAGAAACCATGGGGAAGACACCAGGATCCATGTTCCCCTCTATCCCCTACTGCTGGCCCAGACTTGAGCCATACAGGAGAAAAGGAAGTAGATTTGGGAGCTTCCCTCCACCCACAGCAGCCTTCACATGCTGAGTGATGCAAGCCTGACCTTTCCCAGGAGCACCCATGACCTCATGGAGAAACGGTGAACCTCAGGACATGCAATGGTCCTGCCCAAGCTTCCTTTCCAGTGCCCCTACCTGTCCTATCCAGGGCATGCCCAAACTGTCTCAACGAAAACGTTCCTAGAGAAGAAGAGATCTTAGAAATTAGCCCCTTTTGTCCCTCTTTTTTTTTTTTTTTTTGAGACAAAGTCTCGCTCTACCACCCAGGCTGGAGTACAATGGCGTGATCTCAGCTCACTGCAACTTCCACTTCTTGGGTTCAAAAGATTATCCTGCCTCAGCCTCCTGAGTAGCTGAGATTACTAGTTTTTGTATTTTTAGTAGAGACGAGGTTTCACCATGTTGGCCAGGCTGGTCTCAAACCCTTGACCTCTAGTGTTACGCCTACCTTGGCCTCCCAAAGTGCTGGGATTACAGGCATGAGCCACCACAACCAGCCCCTCATTTTCTAGCTGAGGAAAGAAAGAAACTGGGACATTACAGTCCCTTTATGGCCAGCACTGGAATCGAATCATGAAATTGCTTTGCACGGAGTTCTGCTGTGCTCTGTAGTTTGCACAATCATTTCCTCTAATCCTCACAACTCCTCCTCTAAGGTGGTAATTACCTTATTTTCACTTTTTAGATAAGGCTAAAGAGCTCCACGGTCCCGAGTGGAGAGGCACCCATCGGATTCTGGCACCTGCTGGAACCACCCTCCAGGTGCCCAGTGGTTTCTCCAGGGGGGACACAGGCTTACACATGGCACAGAAGTGCTCCGTGACATGCACACGGCATGTCCCACATGGCACATCCCACACGTGGACCCAGAGAGGCCAAAGAGGGCAGGCACATGGCACCATCTGTTCTATTTACGAGTGGCCTGTTCTCTGGGCTTTATTAAGCAACTGCCCAAGTAGAAGAAAAGCAATCATGAAACAAGGCATCATAACGATTCCCCCAGCTGTAATGGGATTGCATCAAGGAGCAAAGCGAGGCGTTGCTTTCAGAAACTCTGCCAATTAATGTTCATTGCTCCCAAAGTCTGTGATTATAACACACTAGCTCCAGTGGCTGAGTGAATGTCACTTCATGCAAAAACAGGGACAATGTCTGTGACCTCTGGAGATGAAGATGAAAGAACTGACTCTCCTGCTTCCGCCATTATTAACATGTCTCTAGCTACATTCAAACAGACCGTATGTGCACATGGAACGGGCTCACACACACACGCCAGCACACGTCATGCCCGGTGGTCAGGAAATGCTCTTCTACCGGGGACTGAGACGCCCGCAAAGCGCAGCCCTGAGAGCAGAGTCAAGCACAATGCTGCTGCTTGGCGCCGGTGGCCAGGCGTGTGTGGTGCCCTCAAGAAGGTCTGGGGACCTCTGGGCCCAGGGGTGCTAACCATCAATCTCCCACCCCAGGTGTGTGCGGTGGCACCCCTGAGAAGGTCTGAGGGCCTCGGGGCCTGGGGGCGCTAACCATCAGCCTCATCTCCCATGCCAGCTCCCAGGGTCTGGGGCCCAGGTGTTTTGGAGAAGGCACTCTGTACTTATATCTACGGAGTGCCATCCACCATCAGGTTACTGTGAGTAAAGGAGAGGACCCTCCATCATGTAGCCATCACTTCGGGCCTTAAGACAAAACAGTCATGTTCATTGCTGCTAAGAACCCAAAACAATAGGCTGAAATGTCCTGAGGTCAGGAAAGATGGAAGAGTCCTACCTAGTCCATCCTCACTGACGCCTTCACACCTGACTCTGCCGAGGACTTCCATTCTGCCCAGCTTCCAAATGTCAGGAGTTCTCTTAACCTAAAACCAAGTGTTAAAAGAGAGCGATGAAAGCCAACAAGCCAGTCTGAGCAACTCCAAACTAGGGCCACAAATGAAACTCACTCCTACAAGAGGGCAGGGGAGCTGGAGCACTTTCTTTCATCCTGAAATGGAAAAACATTCACTTTTAACAATAAGAAAACATGAGGTGGTGAGATGACTTAGATGAGAATATTATCTCATCTAACACCACACAGCGATGTCGGACACGGCTCCCAGCGCATCCAGGCAAGGGGGCTGCGAAGACGAGGGCAGCAGTGAGACCCTCAGAAAAGCCTTTGGGGAAAGCCACTGGGTCATTCTTTTAAACCACGTGTGCCCCTGGACAGAAACTGCACAGGAGAAAACTAACATTATCTGTAGCCCACCAATCTGAGGAAATGGCTGCTAGCAACGTCTGTTTCTCTCCATAGTTGAGATCACAGCATTGGTACTGATATTGGTCTATTTATTATGTTACTTATGGTATCTCCATCGTTGAGGTCACAGCATTGGTACTGATATTGGTCTATTTATTATGTTACTTATGGTATCTCCATCATTGAGGTCACAGCATTGGCACGCTTTATAATAATTGGCACACATTATTCCACCAGGATTTTCTTATGTTCTTAAGAAACATAAGAAGCATAATTCTAGTAGCCAAATGGTATTCGTCACAGAGTCGTCGTCACCCGACCAGGCCTCTGTCTCACAGTCAGGTCACTTTCAGTCAGTGCTCGAAGGGGGCCAGGCAGTGACCTAATGGGAGACAGCTACAGTTCAGAGGCAGAGTTCCTTCCTGATTCTGATGGGGAATTCAGTCACTATGTCTTCGTGTCATTACTCACTTCTTTCACATCTTTTCCAATAAAGACAGAGTTTTTTCATGGCAGTGGAAGTTATAAAAGCAGCTTCCCCTCATGCAGAGCATCCTGAGGGCATGCCAACTGTACCCCAGTGCCAGGATACCCTTACTGCAAAAAAAACAGGGTGCAGGAGGATTTGCAAATTCTAACTGACCCAGCCAAATCAACCTGTGGGCACATGGCGAGTTGGTGGCCAAGCCTGAACTGAGACCAAGGCTTCAGACTCCTCGCACTGGCTGTCTGGCTTGCTAAGATACAATATTCTCATCTAACTGCTCTGTACTAAGAACATGCTTCCTGATCCAACCAATGTGTTTCAGACGTACTGTACCCACACCGGGGCAGCGCAGAGTGTTCCTGCCTCCACAGCACTTGCCCAGCCAAGGGGCTTTCCTGAAGCCAAGGGCATGGTGAGGCAGCATCTGAGACCCTGCTCTGCAGCAGGAGCTGCCCTGCATCTCCAGGGAAGAACACGTTCAATCAGAACTGAAGCACGTTCCAGCAGATCCACAGCCGGAACGATGGAAGCCTTGAGGAGGTCCTGCTAGGCTTTCGGTGCTGGCCCTTAGCAGCTGCTCCTCCCACAGCCCAAAGCTCAGCATCCCTTCTCCAGGACCTTCCTGCCACCAGGTGCTCTCTGCACCACCCACTCCGCCACCATCTCTGCCTCCTTCCCACTGACCGTCAGCCCAATGCTGGGTCCCCACTGCGGCTTCCACACACCCTTAGACCCGCTGGTGATGTGCCATCTCCCTCATTCCCAGCCCAGGAGAGCCTGGCCTGGTCGCACGTCCCTCCTGCCACCCTCCGCTCAAGCACATGGACATCCCAACAGCAGAGCCCTGTCCAAAAGGAAAGAACTCAGCTCCAGACCGCCAGCAGGCAAACGTTCAGGAAGATGGGCTCAACTCAAGTTTCTGGTTTTTCACTAATTCACAGCTTTTTTATTAAATGCAATCTGAATTCAATTGGATGCAGGAGTGGGTTTCCATACTATGCCATTGATAATCAGCTAATGGGGTCTGAAATGTCAAGTCCAAATCGCCAAACAAAAGTGATCATTTAAAAGCAAGATGTGCAAGGGGGTGAATATGAAGCCCAAAGACATGTGAGATTCCCCAAACCCAACCAACTGGCGTGGAGACCACACAGCCTAGCCACACTCCTGGGACCAGAAGATTTCTTAAACAACAATGCTTTGTAAGTATTCCAAGGAGCAGGAGAATCCACCTGAATTGAAAGAGGGCTAAAGAATGCAGCAAGCTTGCATGGGATGGGATGAGGGAGAGCAGCCTGCAGGCCTCACAGGCAGAAGGGCCTCTCAGACCCGGAAGTCAGTGCCACACGTGGAGGTCTCTGGTGAAGGTGAAAACCGCCCCATCACCTTCATGGAAATGCTTCAGGGTGTGTGGCCCCAGGCATGTTTCCAGAAGGTCTCAGTGGCTTGCGGGGCCTCACAGGGCTCAGTGCGGCCCTGGCTCTGGTGGACTCCCACTCCAAGAGCCAAGATCACTGCATGGGCATGCATGCTTCTTGTCCTAATGGACAGGGAACCGTTTGGTGGTGTTGCTACCACAAGAGATATGGCAGGGCTGCGGGATCAATGAAGCCCTAAGGCCCACTCACCCCTTGGGGGACCGATGTTGTGTCCCTTCAGGAAGCTGCAGCCTGCCCTGGGATTTCCAGGAAACAAGGCCAGCTTCCATGAGAGCACGGAACCCAGCTCACACTCCCACTATGAAAGAAGCACCTGGTGACTGCCCTGCAGTGAAAGCAGGAGAACCGGGGAGGAGCCCCCATACTCTCAGAAAGGTCCCTGCACGGAGACCCCCAGGCAGTGGCCATCTGACCCTGGCTGTGTCTGGCCGTGGAACCAGAGCAGACATGTTTGACTCCAATCAGACCGAAGGGGTGAAGTCGCCCTTGGGGAGCTGGCTAACGAGGACCACCCAAGACCCCAGAACATGGCAAATGCAAAGAGCTTGGACTGAGGAAAACAAGTTCAAATTCGTCACTGTGATTTCAAGCAAATCAGAACCAAATTCTTGTCTTTGTCTCAGTGAGAATGTTTTCAGTGACAGATCAGAGCCAGCTTGAACACTCGGCCAGCTTGAACACTGGGTACTCACTCACTCACACTGGGCTCACACCGGGCACACACTGGATACACACTGAGCACACGGTGGATACATACGGGGCACACACTAGGCACACATCGGCACACACTAGGCACACACTGGGCACACACTGACTCACTGGGCACACACTAGGGACACATCAACTCACTGGGCACACACTAGACACATATCAACTCACACTGGGCACACACTAACACACTGGGCACACACTGGGCACACAACTCACACTGGGCACAAACTGGGCACACATCAGCTCACACTGGGCACACACTGGCTTATACCAGGCACACACTGAGCACACTCTGGCTTATACCAGGCACACATTGGACACACAATGGCTTATTCTGGGCTCACACTGGGCACACACTGGCTCACAGTGGACATACACTGAGCACACACCAGGCTCACACTGGATCACAGCCACAAACCTGACAGACAGGCTGGTGCTTGAGAAGCTGTGTCCGAGTGCTCCACCATGTTACCCAGGACCGGCTCGTCCCTCTCTCTGACCTGCCTGCTGGACATCAATACCAGCCCTCAAGTGCCAGCAGTGACAAGTCTACCTGCTGTCCTGCCCACCTGAGCAGAAATGCAGAGTCTTGTCCAGCATCCTCAGAGTCTAGTCCACTCTAACAGGATCCACTTTGGTCACATGACCCCTCCTGAGCCAATCACTGCAGCCATGACCATGGCATATTCTGGCCAACTCACGGGAGGCCTTGTTCAGGACAGGGAGGGGAGGACTCGGAGTTCCCACTGGACCTTTAATGAAGTGTGAGGGAGAAGAGAAACATGACATGGTCAGGGAGATGCCACAGGTGCTCCCCATATCCTCAGGGGAACCACACACAGTGACTCATGAGTAGCAGCGAGGTGGGCGCGGGAGGGCCTTGAACCAGGGCGAAAGCACTGGGCACTCCAGAATCCCAGGCCTGTTCCCTGAACAAGCCTCCAAACCTATCAAGCTAGAGCTAACTACAAATGACAAAGTCCTGTCAGACAGAGCTCAAACGCAGGTTTCAAATGTTTTGGTCATGAAAAGCTGACCTCTGAGTCATCCTGGGACGGTGTTGAGGATGGGGAGGGTGCAAGCTCTGGCCCAGGCCCCACCTTTCCCAGGGAAGGCAAGCATCACTTAAATGCCTGCAGCCTCCTGCAAAGGTTTTCTGAGACTATCAGCAAAGATAAAATGTGTTAAAGCCCCTGGAATACATTTAAATTATTATGCAAATGAACAACAGCTATTAGAAATATCACCTTATAAACTTTTCATTGAAATATTGTGCATTCCAAAGAGTGCACCGATGAGAAGTACACACTTGATGATGCCTGAAGACGCAGCCTGGCCTGGGATTTCCAGGAAGCAAGGCCAGCTCAGAACAGATGCAAGTCCCATAAAACGGAGCTTAAGACAAGCCTCACCCTCACTAGACCTGCTTACACTCTTGCTACAGACGAAACACCTGGTGACTAACCTGGAGTGAAAACAGGAAAGGGGGAAGAGCCCCCAACCTTATGAATTTTTGCAAAACAAACACACCCACCCAGACACAGATTCGTCACCGACAAGCCCCTACCCATCCTCTCAGTCAACATCATTCTAAATCCCAGGCTGAACATGAGCTTTGCCTGTTGAAGCTTCAGGTCAACGGAATCACACTCTGTGCTCTTTTGAGTCTGGCTTCTTTGCACAACGTCACATTTGTGAGAGTCATCTGTGCTGCTCTGTGCCACGGTAGCTGGTGCTTTTCTACTGCTCTGTAGTATTTAATTGTATGAAACACCCCACCGTTATTTATACATTCTACTGTGGATAGACGTATAAGTTATTTCAGTTGTAAGCTGTTATAAATCAAGCTGCTGGGAACATTCTTAGGCATTTTTGTATATTTAAGTTTGCATTCCTATTGGGTATGTACTCACAGGAGCGGAATTACCAGACCATAAAAGACGAATGTGTTCAGCTTCCACAGATACAAACCAAGCTGCTAGACACATTCTTGTACGTGTCCTTTGCAAACCTCAGTCTGCATTTCTGTTGGGAATAAGCATATCTATGGGTGAAATTATTCGATCACAGGGTAAAAAAAAATACAAGGCTACATTTGCCACTTTATATTGAAGTTTACAGGCAAAAGTTGCTCGTGATATGGACCTATAGCAATGTCCACTTTTTATTCCTGGCTTGGGTGAGTTGGTCCTTCCTTCTGTTTTTCTTGATCAGGCTTGCCAGAAATTTATATTCAAATCTTTTAAAGAATCAACAATTGGTGTTGTTCATTCTCTTTATATTGTACATTTGTTTTCTCTTACATTATTTTTGCTCTTCTTTTTATCATATTCTTATATGTCTTTAACTTCAATTTTGTTCTTTTCCTTTTCTTTTTTTTTTTTTTGAGACGAAGTTTCACTCTTGTTGCCCAGGTTGGAGTGCAATGGCGCAATCTCAGCTCACCACAACCTCCGCCTCCTGGGTTCAGGCAATTCTGCCTCAGCCTCCTGGGATTACAGGCACGCGCCACCATGCCCAGCTAATTTTTGTATTTTTAGTAGAGACGGTGTTTCACCTTGCTGACCAGGATTGTCTCGATCTCTTGACCTCATGATCCACCCGCTTCGGCCTCCCAAAGTGCTGGGATTATAGGCGTGAGCCACTGCACCCGGCCAATTTTGTTCTTTTTCTAAATTCTTTAGACACGTATTTTCACCCTTTCTTCTTTTCTATTAAAAGCATTTGAGATTATAATTTATTTCTGACCATAGCTTTAGCTTGATCCCAAAATTCCCACAATTGCTTAACATTGTATTTTTATTTTAGTTCAGTTCAAAGTATCTTCAGATTTCTGTCAACATTTCTTCTTTGACACATGGGGTATTTAGAAGAGTACTACTTAATTTCCAAACATTTAGATATTTCTAGGGGTTTTTTTCCCAATGTTTTTAGCTTAATTTCTTTCACCAAAAAAATACTCTGAGATGGTCATTTTCAGTATGTATGCCATGTGCACTAGATCAGAATGCAGGTTCTATTTGATAGGTGCAGTGTGCCACTGAGGCCAAGATTGCTAATCTCGTTCTTCAGACCTCTTTGGCGTCTCTCTCTAAATACCTGATAGAACAAACATACCAATAATAAAAGCAAACATGCATAAAATGCATATGAAATTGTGCATTATTCTTTCCTTTACTTATCAAACATTTGCTTTATATATTTGAAAATTATATCAGGTGCATCAAATGTATAATTATCATGTGTTCCTGATAGACTAGTCCTTATTTTTATGACCCTTTTTATCTCAAAAAATGCTTCCAGCCTTAAGACCTACTTTGTGTATTAGTTTAGATAGACCGGCTTTCTTTAGGTAATGTTTTCATTGTATTCTCTTCCTGCCTTAAGACCTACTTTGTGTATTAGTTTAGATAGACCGGCTTTCTTCAGGTAATGTTTTCATTGTATTCTCTTCCTGCCTTAAGACCTACTTTGTGTATTAGTTTAGATAGACCAGCTTTCTTCAGGTAATGTTTTCACTGTATTCTCTTCCTGCCTTAAGACCTACTTGGTGTATTAGTTTAGATAGACCGGCTTTCTTTATGTAATGTTTTCACTGTATTCTCTTCCTGCCTTAAGACCTACTTTGTGTATTAGTTTAGATAGACCAGCTTTCTTTAGGTTAATGTTTTCATTGTATTCTCTTCCAGCCTTTCAACCTTTTATATCGCAACATTGAAGGTAGTCCCTGGTAAGCAGCATGGTTTTGATTTTTAGTGGCAATCTTTAATTTTTGATTGGAATGTTTATCTCATTTATTTGCAATGAAATTACTAATATGTTGGAATTTATATCTACTATCTATCTTCGTTTTTTATTTGTCTTATCTGTTTTATTTTCCCCTTTACTCTTTTTTATTGCTTTCTTTTGGATTGAGTATTTTTATTCCCTTTCTTAGCTTGTTAGCTATTGTTTTTGTGGTTATTCTAGAAATAACAACAAGGTCCTTGACTTATTATGGTGCAGCACACGTAAGCGCATCCCAAATGGTGTCAGAAAGACTGGATATCCACATGCAAAGAACAAAACTCTACTATCATCTTATACCACACACACACACACACACACATCAACTAAAAATGGATTGCTGCCTTAAATGTAACTCCTGAAATGGTAAACCTCCTAGAAGAAAACATAGAAAAAAACCTTCATGACATTGGTCTTGGCAATTATTTTTCGGATCTGACACCAAAAACTCAGGCAACAAAAGCAGAAATAGACAAGTAAGACTATATCAAACTAAAGTTTCTGCACAGCAAAAGAAACAATCCACAGAGTGAAAAGGCAGTCTACAGAACAGAAGACTTGTATATCATATAACTTTTTTTAAAGTTAATATCCAATAACCAAAAACAAAATATCCTGATTTTTTGTTTAATGGGCAAAAGGACCTGAATAGTCATTTCTCACAAGAAGAAATACAAATGGACTACAGATATACAACACAAATGCTCCACATCACTAATCATCAGCAAAATCAAAATCAACACTACAATGAGCTATCATATCACACTTGTCAGATAGCTATTATCAAAAAAAAAAAAAAGAAGAGTCTTGGTGAAGATTGTAAGCTGCTGTGGAGATACAGAAAGAACCTATGTACTGTGGGAAATAGTACAGTTTCCTCAAAAAAATTAAAAATGGAACTACGATTTGATCCAGCAATCCCACAGCTGGGCTTTTACCCAAAAGAGTCAAAATCAAGATCTCCAAAGAGATACTTGCATTCCCACACTCACTGTGGCATCATTTGCAATATCCGAGAAGTGGAAACAACCCAAATGTCCATCAACAGACAGACAGGTTTTGAAAATGCGGTGTATCTATGCAGTGAAACATTACTCAGCCTTAAAAAAGAAAATCCTGCCGTAAGTGACACCATAGATGAACCTGGAAGACATGAGCTGTGTGAAATAATCCAGGCACAGAAAAGAAAACACCGCATGACTGCACTTAGACAAGGCTTCTAAAATAGTCAATTCACAGAAACAGAGAGAGGATGATGGTTTCCAGGGACTGGGTGGCGGCAAGGGTGGGGAGTTGCTAATCAATGGGTATGAAGTTTTAGTTCTGCAGGATGAACGAGGGGTAGAGATCTGCGGTACGACATCACAGCTATGGTCAACAATACTGTGCTATGCCCTTAAAATGTTAAGAGGGTAGATCACATGTTACAGATTCTTTCCACAAAAAAGAACACGGATCCCCGACTTATTACACTGTAACACACATTATCACATCCTGGAAAATGCCAAAACCTGAGAACACTGACTACTTTACCTTCTGTGCAGTCAATATTTATGTTGATTCACCAACCCACTGACACCTCCCACTGCTGTCCCAGCCTTCCTTATTTCCTTGTTTCCACATGGGATTATTTTCCTTCTGCCAGAAGTCCCCGAAGTATTTTCATAAGAGTCATCTGTTGATGGAGTCTCTCAAGTTCTGTTTGTCTGGACATGTCTTGATTTCATCTTTATACTGAGAAACATTTCCAGTGAGGAAAGAACTTGAGTTGATGGGGTGTTTTCCTCCCTCACATGGGAGGTTCACCACACTGCCTTCTGGTCTCCATGGTTTCTGGTGAAACAATTCATCAATAGAGATGAATGTCATATGCTTTTTCTCTGCCTGCTTTCCAGATTTTCTCTTAAAGTTTGGTTTTTGCTAATTTTAGGATGATGTTGAGACATAGAGTTTTCTTTGTATTCATTTTGTGAGGCTGAACTAACTATACAAAACTGCCAGTATTAAACTGTTATTTATCTTTAAAATAGCTACATAATAGATCTTTTAAAAGCCAGGGTTTGGTGTCTTTCTTCAGGTTTGAAAAGACACCTTAGCTATCTATCATTGCCTCGAATATTGCTTCTTTCTTTTCTTTCTCCTATTCTGGGACTCCACTTACATGTATAGACCTTTCCAACAGATCTCACATGCCTCATACGCTCTCTCCTATACTGTTTCTCAGTTCTGATCTGTTACTCTGCCTGGTTATTTCCCATGGACCTTCATCCAGCTCAGTCATCCACTCTTCCTTCACACCCAATCTTTTGTGATACCCATCTATTGAGTTCTTAATTTCAGGTCTACAATTTCCATTTGGTTACTTTGTTCATAGAATCAATTTTTCTGGTGAAATTGTCCACGTACCCCTTATTTTCTTAACATATCAATCAGAGTTCTTTTAAAATTTGACTGTGACAAGTATAATAACTATCTGTGGGTATAACATTATCATCTGTTTTTGTGTCTTGGTCTTGCTTCTTGACAACTGAAATTCAGACATTACATATGAAACTGCAGAGACTTTGGGTGATTCTATCTTCTTACCTTCCTCCTCACTAGACAGCCATATGGAGGGTAGATCCCCTTAACTCAAGTGAGGCCTGAGCCAACAGTTCAGACCTGTCATTCTTGGAAGGATCAGTCTACTCATGGTTTATCCTCACACTTATGACATGACTCATCTGGGGCCGGGAGCTCGGTGTGTGCTATGGCCCCTCTTTCTTAGAAGTTCCTGAATTCCAGTTGTGTCTCTTCAGCATTATAAGACTGCCAAAAATTCTTCCCTGCTTTTCCATAGCTTTCTGATCAGCATCTTCCTCAACTCAAGAATTTGGCCAGTGTGTCAAAGGTGAAAGCCACAGGTGCTGATTGCCTCTGTGCGTTTCTCTCTGGGATCCAGTCTCCTCAAGACCTGGTAACCTTTGCAACCCAAACATCAATTTGCGTGTCGCTCAACCTGTGAGGTAGCCAAGTGCTCTGCGGGATTCACTGCCTCTTCTCCACAACCCTTACCTAATTTCTAGCCTCTTTGGACAGGAATCACAAATGTCCCCAGGAGACAGGCAGCCCAGAGGGATCAGCTCCCCAACAGTGCCCTCCAATGGGTCTTTCTTAAAAGTTTTATTGGCTGGGCACGGTGGCTCACGCCAGTAATCCCAGCACTTTGAGAGGCTGAGGCAGGCAGATCACCTGAGGTCAGGAGTTTAAGACCAGCCTGACCAATATGGTGAAACCCTGTCTCTACTAAAAATACAAAAAATTAGCCGGGTGTGGTGGCAGGTGCCTGTAGTCCCAGCTACTTGGGAGGCTGAGACAGGAGAATTGCTTGAAGCCAGGAGGCAAAGTTGCAGTGAGCCGAGATTGTGCAACTGCACTCCAGCCTGGACAACAGAGCAAGACTCCATCTCAAAAAAACCCAAAACAAACAAAAAGTTTTATTTTATTTTTAATTGACAAATAATTGTACATATGTGTGGGGTGCAACGTGATATTTCAATACACATATACACGGTGCAATGACCGAATCAGGCTCATTAACAGGATCCTGGCCTCTCAAATCCCAGCTGCCTCCACAGCTCCCAAAGCTGATGTTCCATATATTTTATCCAACACTGCTAGTTGTTCTTCGCAGGAAATCCGATCTGATGCAGACAGATCACTACAGCCAAGAGAAGGCCAGTTCTGGCCATTGATTTTCTTGGAATTTGCTAAAGATGAATTGTGCTGTGTGAAAATGCACTTTAAGCTGACACCTAGCTGATTAGCATATAGGGCTTAGCAGCACTTCCACAGCTAGGGACTTCCTCATAGACACTCTTTGACCAGGGGCCAGCAAACTGCAGCCTTGGACCTGCCCCACCTGTCTTTTCATTTAAGGCCTGTGAAAGCAAAATAAACCTTGGGACTCTAAAACTACTAGGCTAAATGGCAAAATCAAGCTGGGAACTGCTCAGGGCACACCTGCCTCCCACTCTGTTCAGAGTCCCTCGTCCCTCGGAGGCTCCCCTCAGACAAACGCATATCTCGTTGCTCCCGCTCCCCTACTGTTTATGTAAAAATGCAGATTCACTGAGCCAGGCTCAATAGTGTATTCTGTGGAAGGCTGGTCAAGGACTCAAGAGAATGCAACCTTTTGTCTCTTACCTACTTCTAACCTGGAAGCCCCACTTCCAGTTGTCCCACCTTACTGGACCAAACCAAAGCACATCTCACACATACTGATTGACGTCTCATATCTCCCTAAAATGTATAAAAGCAAACTGTACACGGGACCACCTCAGGCACATGTCTCAGGACTTGCGGAGGCCGTGTCACCGGTGTGTCCTTAACCTTGGCAAAATTAACTTTCTAAATTGATTGAGACCTGTCTCACGGGCCTATGAGCTAAGAATGGTTTTTATATTTTTAAAGGGTTGTAGGAAAAAGGAGAAAGAGAAGGAGAAGAAGTGGGGAAGGGAGAAGAAAGGAGGAGAAGAGGGGGAGGAGTGGGGGCAGTAATAAGAGGAGGAGGGAGGAGCAGAAAACAGTTGCTACATGTGGCTTTCAAAGCCAAGGTATTTATCAACTGGTCCTTTACAGAGAAAGTTTGCCAACCCCAGTTCATGACCATCTCTAATTCTTTTAAATATCAAGTCATGGTGTTTATTAATATAAAGATTGCATAGTAAATTCAGCTTTAATAGACACAGAAAGTAAAGACATGAAAATCAGTTCGTATTCATTGCAAGACAAGTCTGAAAGATCAGCAAGACGGCCCAGTCTGTGGAGCCCCAGGCTTATTTACAGGGTGCACCTCGTGGAGCCCACAAGGAAGGTAGATCTTTTGGAAATAATTTTACAATGTGGAAATATTGACTGATTTATTGATGAGAAACCCAGGGAGGAGCTGGTTTGGGGTTCCGTGACTCCATGCTGAGGCACCGTCTTCCGGCTTGGGGTTCTGTGTCGCCATGCTGAGGCACCGTCTTCCGGTTTGGGGTTCCCGTGTCGCCATGCTGAGGCTCCATCTTCCGGCTTGGGGTTCCGTGATGCCATGCTGAGGCTCCGTCTGCATTTCCTGTCATGCTCTACCAAGTCATTTAGAAAATATCTTCATTTTTCTATGCTCACATGAGTCATACTGGGTCCTGACAACCTCCTGACCTCTTACCCTAATGAGTCTTCATTTCTGAGTAGACATTTCTCCCAAACTTAGTTGCAACAACACACGGTGTGTGGTCACAGCCCATGAAGGTAGAGACAGGCTCAAAACTGCCTTCTTGTGGGCAAAGTCACCTCCTCAAACATCCTATGAAGACCTGACGTTCAGACACCAAATGCCCCAGGCCCAGCTCCCAAAAGCTAGATGGACTGTCGGTTCGGGCCTCAAATCAGAGGCTGTGGTGCCTGTGGTATCCCAGGACTGCTGCCATAGGGTTCTAGCATAGCTCCAGGCAGACTTCCTCAACAACAGCGACGGTGATGGTGGTGAGAGTGATGGTGATGGTGGTGGTGAGGGTGAAAGGGGGGATGGTGGTGATGGTGGTGGTGGTGATAATGATGGTGATGGCAGTAGCATTTGTAGCTATGGGCCTGGTAATGACGGTAGTGATGGTGATAGGGGTGATAGTGGTGATGGCGGTGGCAGTGGCGACGGTGTTAGTGGTGGTGATGATGGTGGTGATGGTGACATTGGTGGTGGTGATAATGGTGGCATACTGGTGATGGGAGTGGTCATGGTGATGGTGGTAGTAGTGATGGTGGTGGTGATAGTCACAGGGTGGTGGTAGTGGTGGTGATGATGGTGATGGTGATGGTGATGGGGTGGATAGTGGTAGTGGTGGTGGTGGTGGTGGTGATGATGGTAATGGTGGTGGTGGCAGTGGCAATGGTGTTGGTGGTGATGATGCTGGCGATAGAGGTGCAATGGTGGTGGTGATGGTGATACTGGTGATGGGGGTGGTCATGGTGATGATGGTGATAGTAGTGATGGTGGTGGTGATGGTAGTGATGGCGTGGTGGTAGTGGTGGTGATGGGGTGGTAGTGGAGATGATGGTGGCAGTAGTGGTGGTGGCAGTGGTAATGGCAGTAACCGGGTGTGGTGGTAGTAGCGGTGGTGGTGACAGTGATGGTGATGAGGGTGGTGATGGTGGTGGTAGTGGTAGTGATGGGGTGGTAGCAACAGTGGTGACAGTGGTAATGATAGTAGTGATGGTGATGGCAGTGGTGGTGATAGTGATGGTGGTGGCAGTTGTGATGGTGGTGGTGATGGTGGCAATGGTGATGGCAGTGGTGGTGATAGTGATGGTGGTGGCAGTTGTGATGGTGGTGGTGATGGTGGCAATGGTGATGGCAGTGGTGGTGATAGTGATGGTGGTGGCAGTTGTGATGGTGGTGGTGATGGTGGCAATGGTGATGGCAGTGGTGGTGATAGTGATGGTGGTGGCAGTTGTGATGGTGGTGGTGATGGTGACAATGGTGATGGCAGTGGTGGTGATGGTGGCAAGGAAATCATTCTCTGATCACCTGACATGATTAAAAAGATGAGCAGAGAATGTCATCATATGATGTCTAAGGAGGCTGAGCCTGAGAACCCTGGAATGCTTGCATTCCCCATATGCACACATGCGAGGGCTGAAAGTGACCGGTTATCTATTCATGGTTATCATCTGCATGGTGGAGAAACACTGCAGCCTACATTTTCTCCACTAGAGGGCTGGTTCAACACATGATGGCACCTGCATGCAACGGATACCATGTATCAGTATTCAACCCGGAATACCACTCAGCATTCAGAAGTAAGACAGTCTATATTTGGCAAGTGATAAGAAAAATTTGCAGAAGTACAGGATTCTATTTTTGGTGTGTGTGTTTGTGCCCAGAAAAGCATCTAAAAAGACATTTAGCTGAATGATCTTCACAAGGATTATCTTGGGGCTTTAGGACCCTCAGGCGGTGATTTTGATTTGTGCCTTGTACCTTTGTGCACTCCCCAGCCGTGCAGTGCTCCGCCTGCTTCCTCCCCTTTGGTGCGCTTCGATTCTAGTAACAGGAAACATGTATATAAAAAAGGCACAGGAGGGAATGTATGTTTCCTTTTTTGTCAGAAAATAAAATGACACACTTCCATTTTAGGAAAAGTTAGAACAGATTTTTTATCTCCTTCCACCATTCTTGCCTTATGGAGGACAAGAGGAGGACAGGGCCTCCAAGCAAATGGGCACAATAGTGAGTTAAAAGAAACATTTATAAATCTAGAGCATAGTCTTTGCCCTAGAAAGACAGTACTAAAGCAGACAGAAGCCTTTTCAGGAACATAAATAAGTATCTTTAAAAAAATAAAACTTTTTTGTTCCCTTTAAATCAGAACGCCTCTTAAGCTGGTCAACAAGCACACTGCAAATGTCCTGTCCCCACTAGGTGGCCACAGGTCACTGGGGGAGTGGGTCTTTGTGGGCAGAGGCAGGAGCGGAGTCTGCAGAGGACATGCGACCCCATCTTCCACGGCTCGGGCAAAGGCTCCTGTGGCTCCAGGGCAGTGCCAAGCATGACCACTCCCCGAAGGCTCAGAAGGCTGCAAAGTGGCCACCTCTTGCCTGAGTTGCCAGACTCAGTTGCAATCCAAGGGGTAGGTTTATATCAAATCAATAGAAAAACTTGATTTCTGGGGAAAGGCTGAAATCAATCAACAGAGAATTAACGAGACCGTTTTCCCACTGACAGGTCTGTAATTATGCGCTGGGGGCTGCCCCCCGCATGGTCAGTCACATTGTGCAGCTCTCAGGCTGAATACTAAGCCTACTCGGCTGCCAGGAGGCCTCAGGGAGGAGAGGAAGCAGGAGGAGCGGCACAAGGTGAATTTTTCCTACAGGGGGAGCGGCCCGGGGCGAATCTCCCTGACACGGGGAGCGGTGTGGGGCGAATCTTCCCACCAAGCATGTGAGCTCCTTGTCCCCACCTGGGTGAGCCTCCTCCTCCTACTAGGGGCACCCACAAGACCCCTTCCTAAGAGTAAGACTCAGCAGAGAGGGTGACAAGGCCTGCGGCTAGCAGGCGAATCACACAGGAGCTTCCTCTACCATGCGAGTCTCTGGGAGTCCTTGTCCAGGTGATGGGGGTCAGAGTGGACCACCAGCAACGGGACTGCCTGGGACGGCCAGGGGCAGAGCTGCTCCCATGTGGTGCCCTACCCCGAGTCCTGGGTGCAACTCATACCTGTTCCTGGGTGTAATTCCAGCAGCACCTGTTCCTCCTCTCAGTAGCACCTGTTCAGGGTCCCTGCCCTCTCCCACTGAATGGTGAGGGGTGCCAGAGAAGAGAGGGGACCTGTGGGCAAAAACACCCACCACTTCCTACCAGGCAGGGAGACACCTTCCCCTGGGTCGCTGCAGCCCAGCACCCACCCGGCAGCCTTGCCCACACTCCAGCCAGACCGGAGTGTTCACAGGCCTGTCCGTCACCTCCTAACAGGCTCATACAGGCCCTGGAGAGACAGGGCCACACTGGTGCCATCGCAGATGGGACACAGAAAGCTGAAGTGAGTCCCAGCCACCTCCTCCCTGCTGCAGCCCCGCTTGGCCATGGATGGCACTCTGGCAAGCTGAGGTGAGCCCAGGTGCCCCCTCCCTGCTGCAGCTGTGCTGCCCCGAAGTTCCCACCTGCAGTCAGTGTTTGTTTCTCCCTGGAAACCTGATTTGACTTCACTCAAAATCTCCACACCTGATGCAAACGTCAGTTTGATAAACCTAACGCTGCCCTCCCAGCTGGGGGCAGAAATCTCTTTGCCACCAGTGTGAGAAGAGGCCAGGCCTCAGAGTCCCAGGCCAAAGCCCCATTAGAGCAGCTTAGACACAGCACCAAGAGCCACCTAGACCCAGGGTGAACCTAAAATAAAAAACTCTGACAGCCTCAGACTGTGCAGCTGCTCTCCAGGAGAATGTTTCAGAAAACCTAGCGGCAGGGCCTTTCCTGTGGAATCCAACTGCCATGCCCCCAGCCTGCACCCCTTTCCTGGTCTTCAGAGCTCCTCACAGACCCCAGGACCCATGGGGCCTGTGTCACGTGCACAAAAGCCAGGTCCTCTACTACTGCCATTTTTGGGATCCCAAGAAAATCCCCAGCATTCCCTCAGTGCTCTGCGGCTTACACCTAAGTTCAATGCTCAGGGTATGTTTCCTTTCAACAGCAGTTCCATCACCCGCCCCTGCATCCTCTCTAAAATGCAGCCATGCCCAGGGGTGCACCAGACAGACCACAGCCCTCTGCACAGCCACAAGCCCACGCCAGACCACAGCTCTCTGCACTGCAGCAAGGCCACACCAGACCACAGCCCTCTACACAGCCACAAGCCCATGCCAGACCACAACCCTCTGCACAACCACAAGCCCATGCCAGACCACAGCCCTCTGCACAGCCACAAGCCCACACCAGACCACAACCCTCTGCACAGCCACAAGCCCACACCAGACCACAACCCTCTGCACAGCCACAAGCCCACCATAGCAGGTGGAACATGAGAACTGCCACTGTGACTTCTCGAAAGGGCCTGAGTTGGGCTTGGCTGGGAGGGCAAGGGAGAGCCGGATGCCCTTCACCCTCATTGCGCAAGAGACTTCTCCCAGGCATCCCCCAACCTCAGGGCTTTGTCTCCAGAGGAAACAGGCCCTGGGGGACACAGCTCCTCAGTCCCACTGCCCTGTCCCTGAGGCTGTCCAGCCCTTCCTCCTCTACAGACCTGAGGCTTGTGTGACAGCTCAGCCCTGAGGTTGCTCTCAGCACCAAAGGAAGAGTGAACGCAGACGCCTGCCCACTGCTTGTCGAGGGAACAGCCTCCTGCCCCATCTTGGGGTTTGTGCTGCCTGGTGGGGCCACGGGTCCTTGAGAGGCGGCTCTGCCTGGAGTTAGCCTGTCCCTCCTCTGCCCTGGACGGCTCCCTCTCCCACCTCCTCCTGTTCCAGTGAGCCACAGAGCAGCAGACACATCATCTTGGCAGCGGGCACTGGCAAGACCACGTCAGCGTTCAGAAGCCTCTGGGTTGCCCTCAGACCACCCCACACAAGAAGCCAGGAGACTCAGCATGGGCAGGTAAACCCTGGCACTCCAGCACCCCAGGCTCCTGTCCCACCCAGCCCACCATGACACAGTCACCCAGAGTCCAGATTCCCAGCTCGCCCCAGGTCTTCCCAGGCACAGTCTGTCCTTGCAAACCATTTAGGGGCTGAGGGACTGTTCATGTGGAGGACGTGTGCCTGAATGTGTAAGAGACAGAGAAAAAATTGCCCCTGATCTATAAGCTATAGGTAAGAAAAAGCTACATTTTAATTTTACATTAAATTGAATATTTTCAATTCTATTTTAATGTGGAAATTCCTAGGCGAGTATGAGCTGTTGCCAGGGTCGGCCTGTGCTGGGCACACTCATGATGAAGATCTGCCGTGAGCCCCACCTGAGCCACCTGCAAGCCGCCCTGGGGAGGCAGTCCCCACCCGGGTTCTGCCTGGCCTGCCATGGGCACACGGAGCAGCTTGAAATCCAAATGGTGCCTGGGCTGATTTCCTCAGAGATTATTTGGTTGGCCATGAGAAAATCACTAGGTTTTATTGTCTGGTTTCATCCCACTGCTCCCTGTCTTGGGGAAGCCAGTCCCATGGCAGCCCCAGCCTCTTCCCACCATTGGGCAAGCTGGGTGGTCGCACAGCTGACTGTCCAGGGCACCCACAACATCTGGAACCCATCTCAATTCTGGCTTCTGTGGACTGAAGACAGGGCCGACCTGCCGCCTCCCAGCTCCTGGTCTCACAGCATCATGGCTCCCGCCACTTTCGAGGCGCATCCCAATATGACCAGAAGCCCACGGGGGGCTTTGAAAGACATGGAGGCAGTGACCTGTATGCCCAGTAAGGACATAGCTCAAACACCAGGTGCAGCAGGCCAACAGCAGCTCCAGGGGGACCATGATGGCCTCTGAGTGTCAAACTGATTGTAAAACATTGCCCTGAAAAACTGAGACACTCCTTCCCACGCAAGGACAGAACCAGGAATCCACAGCCAATCTGGGGTGCAGCCCGGGCGTCCTCTCCTGGCTCCCCAGACAATGCTTAGTGCATCCCTGCAGCCTCCACCGAGAAGCAAATGCGTGGATGTGTGAATTCCAATTTCGGTTTTAGCTAATGCTTGCATTCCAGCCATTAATTGCCGTGAGCTAAATACCTAATTGGCTGTATAAATTCCCCAAATGGAATTCTTTGGCACCAAAAAGAAGAAGAAGGCAGCTAGTAACTACCATAGCAAACAAGAGCTGTCTCTGTAATTAAGCCCTGACAGACCCAGCCGAGGGCAGCACCGCCTGCCCAGCCAGGCTGCCCCAAAGCGGCAGGGCCCCAGGGAGCCCCAAGGCTCAGCCACACAGATGCTGCCCACACAGCCGGATGAGGCCGACCCGCCCGGCTTGCTCCCACCACCAGCAACCTCTTCCCCACTGCTACAGGAAACAAAGCCACCTGTCTGGGTGCCTGGCCTGCCCCACATCCTGCCAGTCCCAGGAAAGCCAACACCCCTCTGAGGCCAAGGCCGGTGGTGGGCAGCGTCAAGCTGCAAGCAGTAAAGATGAACTGCCCGTGGCTGGAGAGCTGGCCTCTTTGTGTGGGTGTGCGGGCATAGGCACCAGCAGGGCTGAGAGCGGGGCAGTGCTGGAGCCCCTGCTGCCATCCACAAAGGCATCTCAGAGTGGGTTGAAATGACAAGGGGGTGAGGCCATGGTCTTGCCACACCAGCCTCCTGGCCATGCTGCCCAGCCATACGGCACAGGATGCATGCCAGCATAACAGGGGCCCTCAGCCCAGCATCATCGTCCACCTGAGGATACTGGGCCAGGCCACGTGCCGGCTCAGGAGGGCAGCAAAAGGCCTCACTGCCGAGGGCAAAGGCAAGCCCAGTGTGGCGTGCCCCACTAACTCAGGCTGCTCCATGCCCAGGCCACTTTCTGGGACTGCTCCCAGGATGCAGCTCACAGGGAAGCCAAAAGGGGTGTCAGCAACCCCACTCCCCCAGCAGAGTGGCCCAGGCACAGCAGCAAGCCAGGTGTCTGAGAATCATCCTTAGAACACAGCGAGAGGGGGTACTCAAGATGGTGCGGTGAGAACAACCCAGGATTGAAGCTCTCGGTGAATGCGCGGAGAGGGTGAGTCAGGGCCGCATTTCCAGACGGATCTTTGTTGCCCACAAAACAAGGAAATTCCCAGGTATAAAAGAGATGCAGGACGCAAGGCAGAGGTTTTGGCCGGCACTGTAGCGCAGCAGCGCTACACAGAGCTCCACACAAACAGCACTGGTCCGGGTGCCCTGTTACACCAGCAATCTGAGATTTGAGAGGGCTGAACTTGAGACTGAACGGGACTTGGATAGTGAGCCAGCCCAGGAGATTTCAGAGAAGCAGCGTTTGGGGTAGCGCAGTGGGACAAACAAAACCGCAATTCCAAATGCTCCGGGTGCGGGCACAGCTGAACCCAGGACGGTGCAGCTCAGTGGGGGAGTGGCGTCTGCCATTACCGAGGCAGTCCGCCCCTACTGAGGTACACGCCCATTGCTGATGCAGCCTGCCATTGCTGAGGCAACCCGCTACAACAGAGAGACTCCACCGCAGGGCGTAGCCCATGGCAGCAGGGCGGAGACCTCAGCAGCACAGCAAAGCCTGCAGCAACAGGGCGAACCTCACACCAGCAGGGCGGAGCCTCGGCAGGCAAATAGTGACTAGACTGCCTCCTAGCTGGGCAGGACAGCACAACGGACACTCACAAAAAAAGCCCTAACCCCCCCTCCCCCCGAGACAGAGCATCTGAGAAAAAAAAAAATTTTTTTTATGAGTTCAGCTGCAGCAGAATTAAACGTAGCAGCCTAACAGCCCTGAATGAACAACAGAGCTCACAGCTCAGCACTTGAGCTCCTATAAAGTACAGACTGTCTCCTCAAGCAGCTCCCTGACCCCTCTATATCCATAAGACTGACATTTGGCAGGCATCATCCTGGGACAAAGATAGCAGAAGAAGAAACTGGTAGCATCCCTCACTGTTACGCAGCTACTATAGGTGCACCCCAGACAAGCAAGGCCTGGAGTGGACCTCAGCAGTCGTACAGTGGAGGGGCTAGACTGGTAGAAGGAAAACCAAGTAACAGAAATATTTCATCATCAACAAACTGGGTGTCCACTCAGAGACCCAATCGAAAAGTCAGCAACTACACAGACGACAGGTGGATAAATCCACAAAGATGGGAAGAAACCAGCGCAAAAAAAAAAGAAAACACCCAAAACCAGAACACCTCGCCTCCTAGAAAGGACCAAAACTCCTCACCAGCAAGGGAACAAAGCTGGATGGCGAATGACTGTGACAAAATGATGGAATTAGACTTCAGAAGGTGGATAATGAGAAACTTTTGTGAGCTAAAAGAACATGTTTTAAAGCAATGCAAAGAAACTAAGAACCTTGAAAAAAGATTTGAGAAAATGATAAAAAGAATGGATAACTTAGAGAGGAATATGAATGAATTAAAGGAGATGAAAAACACAATATGAGAACTTCGCGAAGCATGCACAAGTTTCAACAGCCGAATTGACCAAGCAGAAGAAAGAATATCAGACGTCGAAGATCAACTCAATGAAATAAAACGAGAAACCAAGATCAGAGAGAAAAGCACAAAGAGGAATGAACAAAATCTCCAAGAAATGTGGGATTATGTGAAGAGACCTAACCTATGTTTGATAGGTGTACCAGAAGGGGATGAAGAGAATGAATCCAAACTGGAAAATACTCTTCAGGACATTATCCAGGAAAATTTCCCCCACCTAGCAAGACAGGCCAACACTCAAATGCAGAAAATACAGAGAATACCACAAAGATATTCCACAAGAAGAGCAACCCAAGGCACATAATCGTCAGATTCAACAAGGTTGAAATAAAGGAGAAAATACTAAGGGCAGCCAGAGAGAAAGGTCAGGTCACCCACAAAGGGAAGCCCATCAGACTCACAGCAGATCTCTCGGCAGAAACACTACAAACCAGAAGACAGTGGGGGCCAATATTCAACATCCTTAAAGAAAAGAACTTTCAACACAGAATTCCATATCCAGCCAAACTGAGCTTCAGAAGTGAAGGAAAAATAAAATCCTTTGCGAACAAGCAAGTACTCAGAGATTTTGTCACCACTAGGCCTGCTTTACAAGAGCTCCTGAAAGAGGCACTACACATAGAAAGGAACAACCAGTACCAGCCATTCCAAAATCACACTAAATGCTAAAGAGCATCAACATAATGAAGAATCTACAAGAACTAACAAGCAAAACAGCCAGCTAGCATCAAAATGGCAGTATCAAATTCACACACAACAATATTAACGCTAATGTAAATAAACTAAATGCACCAATCAAAAGACACAGACTGGCAAATTGGATGAAAATCCAAAACCCATCAGTGTGCTGTATCCAGGAAACCCATCTCACATGCAAGGATACACAAAGGCTCAAAATAAAGGGATGGAGGAAGATTTACCAAGCAAATGGACAGCAAAAAAAAGCAGGAGTTGCAATTCTCATCTCTGAGAAAATAGACTTTAAAGCAACAAAAATCCAAAGAGACAAAGAAGGCCATTACCTAATGGTAAAAAGATCGATACAACAAGAAGAGCTAACGATCCTAAACATATATGGACCCAACACAGGAGCACCCAGACACATAAGGCAAGTTCTTAATGACTTACAAAGAGACTTAGACTCCCACACAATAATAGTGGGAGACTTTAACACTCCACTGTCAATATTAGACAGATCAACCAGACAGAAAATCAACAAGGATATCCAGCGCTTGAACTCAGACCTGGAGCAAGCAAACCTGATAGACATTTACAGAACTCTCCATCCCAAATCCACAGAATATACATTCTTCTCAGCACCACATAATTGACCATATAATTGGAAGTAAAGCACTCCTCAGCAAATGCAAAACAACTGAAATCATAACAAACAGTCTCTCAGACCATAGTGCAATCAAGTTAGAACTCAGAATTCAGAAACCAACCCAGAATCGCACAGCTTCATGGAAACTGAACAACTGGCTCTTGAATGTTGACTGGGTAAACAATGAAATGAAGGCAGAAATAAAGAAGTTCTTCAAAACCAATGAGAACAAAGACACAACATGCCAGAATCTCGGGGACACATTTAAAGCAGTTTCTAGAGAAAAATATATAGCAATAAGTGCCCATATGAGGAGAATGGAGAGATCCAAAATTGACACCCTATCGTCAAAATTGAAAGAGCTAGAGGAGCAAGATCAAAAAAACTCAAAACCCAGCAGAAGACAAGAAATAACTAAGATCAGAGCTGAACTGAAGGAGATTGAGACACGAAAAACCCTCCAAAAAATCAATAAATCCAAGAGCTGGTTTTTTGAAAAGATCAACAAAATAGACAGACCACTAGCCAGATTGATTAAAAAGAAAAGAGAGAACAACCAAATAGATGCAATAAAAAATGATAAAGGAAAAATCACCACAGATTCCACAGAAATTCAAACCATCATCAGAGAATATTACAAACAACTCTATGCACATAAACTAGTAAACCTGGAAGAAATGGATAAATTCCTGGACTCCTGCGTCCTCCCAAGCCTTAACCAGGAGGAAGCTGAAACTATGAATAGACCAATAACCAGGTCAGAAGTCGAGGCAGCAATTAAGAGCCTACCACACAAAAAAAGCCCAGGTCCAGATGGGTTCACAGCCGAATTCTACCAGACGCACAAAGAGGAGCTGGTACCATTCCTTCTGAAACTATTCCAAATAATCCAAAAAGAGGGAATCCTTCCCAAATCATTTTATGAGACCAATATCATCCTGATACCAAAACCCGGCAGAGACCCAACAAGAAAAGAAAACTTCAGGCCAATATCCACGATGAACATAGATGCAAAAATCTTCAATAAAATATTGGCAAGCCGATTGCAACAGCAAATCAAAAAACATATTCATCATGATCAAGTAGGATTCATCCCGGGGATGCAAGGCTGGTTCAACATATGCAAGTCTATCAACGTAATTCACCACATAAACAGAACCAAAAACAAAAACCACATGATTATCTCAATTGACGCAGAGAAGGCATTTGACAAAATTCAACAGCCCTTTATGCTAAAAACCCTCAATAAACTCGGTATCGATGGAACGTATCTCAAAGTAATAAAAGCTATTTACGACAAACCAACAGCCAATATCATACTGAATGGGCAAAAACTGGAAGCATTCCCTTTGAAATCTGGCACTAGACAAGGATGCCCTCTTTCACCACTCCTATTCAATATAGTACTGGAAGTTCTAGCCAGAGCAATCAGGCAAGAAAAAGAAATAAAGGGTATTCAAATAGGAAAGGAGGAAGCCAAATTGTCTCTATTTGCAGACGACATGATAGTATACCTAGAAGACCCCATCACCTCAGCCCAAAAACTCCTGAAACTGATGAGCAACTTCAGCAAAGTCTCAGGATATAAAATCAATGTGCAAAAATCACAAGCATTCCTCTACACCAATAACAGACTTAAAGAAAGCCAAATCAAGAACGAACTGCCATTCACAATTGCTACAAAGAGAATAAAATACCTAGGAATACAACTCACAAGGAACGTAAGGGACCTCTTCAAGGAAGACTACAAACCACTGCTCAATGAAATAAGAGAGGACACATACAGATGGAGAAACAGTCCATGTTCATGGTTAGGAAGAATTAATATCGTGAAAATGGCTATACTGCCCAAAGTAATTTACAGAATCAACGCTATCCCCATCAAGCTACCATCGACTTTCTTCACAGAACTGGGAAAAACCACCATGAACTTCATATGGAACCAAAAGAGAGCCCACATAGCCAAGTCAATTCTAAGCAAAAAGAACACAGCGGGGGGCATCACACTACCGGATTTCAAACTATACTACAAGGCTACAGTCATCAAAACAGCATGGTACTGGTACCAAAACAGAGATATAGACCAATGGAACAAAACAGAGGCACCGGAGGCAACACAACATATCTACAACCATACAATCTTGGATAAACCTGACAAAAACAAGCAATGAGGAAAGGATTCCCTGTTTAACAAATGGTGTTGGGAAAACTGGCTAGCCATGTGCAGAAAGCAGAAACTGGACCCCTTCCTGACACCTTACACTAAAATTAACTCCAGATGGATTAAAGACTTAAACATAAGACCTGGCACCATAAAAACCCTAGAAGGAAATCTAGGCAAAACCATCCAGGACATAGGAGTAGGCAAGGACTTCATGAACAAAACACCAAAAGCATTGGCAACAAAAGCCAAAATAGACAAATGGGACCTAATGAAACTCCACAGCTGCTGCATGGCAAAAGAAACAGTCACTAGAGTGAATCGGCAACCAACAGAATGGGAAAAAATTTTTGCAGTTTACCCATCTGACAAAGGGCTGATATCCAGAATTTACAAAGAACTCAAACAGATTTACAGAAAAAAAACCAGCCCATTTAAAAATGGGCAAAGGATATGAACAGACACTTTAAGAAAGAAGACATATATAAGGCCAACAATCATATGAAAAAATGCTCATCGTCACTGGTCATCAGAGAGATGCAAATCAAAACCACATTGAGATACCATCTCACGCCAGTTAGAATGGCTATCATTAAAAAATCTGGAGACAACAGATGCTGGAGAGGATGTGGAGAAAAAGGAACACTTTTACACTGTTGGTGGGAGTGTAAATTAGTTCAACCATTGTGGAAGACAGTGTGGCGATTCCTCAAGGCCTTAGAAATAGAAATTCCATTTGACCCAGCAATCCCATTACTGGGTATATATCCAAAGGATATAAATCGTTCTACTATAAGGACACATGCACATGAATGTTCACTGCAGCACTGTTTACAATAGCAAAGACCTGGAATCAACCCAAATGCCCATTGATGATAGACTGGATTGGGAAAATGTGGCACATATACACCATGGAATATTATGCAGCAATCAGAAATGATGAGTTTGTATTGTTTGTAGGGACATGGATGAATCTGGAGAACATCATTCTCAGCAAACTGACACAACAACAGAAAATGAAATACCGCATATTCTCACTCATAGGCGGGTGATGAAAAACGAGAACACATGGACCCAGGGAGGGGAGTACTAAACACTGGGATCTATTGGGAGAAAAAGGGGAGGGCCAGCGGGAGGGGGAGGTAGGGAGGGATAGCCTGGGGAGAAATGCCAAATGTGGGTGAAGGGGAGAAAGGAAGCAAAACACACTGCCATGTGTGTACCTATGCAACTGTCTTGCATGTTCTGCACATGTACCCCAAAATCTAAAATGCAATAAAAAATTTAAAAAAAAAACAAAATGAAGAAACAGCTAAAAAAACAAAAACACAGCAAGAAGCCTACTTAGAAGGATACACATCAGAACAGTAACATTATTTTATTATTCTTTACATTTCCTAAATGTTTGATAATAGCCATGTGTTATTCTTAATTAGAGAAAACAGTAAGTTACCATGAAAACCCCTCACAAAGAGAAGAGATCTGAGGAGGAGGAGGAGGAGGAGGAGGAGGAGGAGGAGGAGGAGGAGGAGGGTTGGTGTCCACACTGCTTTCATCAGGCCAGAGGCAAACAGGAGTCTCCACAGACCCAGGCCTGGGCAGCACCATAGTGCAGGGGGTGGGGTGTGGTGGGGGTCCCCATCCAGAGAAGCTGAATCTTCACTGGAGCCTGATGCTGGATTTGAGACTCCCAGGGGAACCCCTCAGATGGGAGGGCTGCAGCAGGCGGGGTTTCTCCTGCAGCCCCACTCCCGGGCCAAGGGCATGGGGCAGTCCCACCTTGAGGTCAGAGCTGACCCTAGAAGTATTTCCCAGGACTCCCAGGGCAGGCCCCAGGGAGTTTCCCTGGTGTGATGCTGGGGGCATTTCCAGCCTAAGATGGGTTCAAGGCAACCCCATTCAAGTTCAGCCACTAGAACAAGACTGGACCGTCCAGGCACTCCTGCCCCACAAGCATTTCCAACAATCAGGAGCAATGGCATTGGGTGGTTAGGAGACCAGTGGGACACCATGTATCTGTGAGGAGGAAGGGCATGGCACTTTGTACTTTGTGTCACTGTGACGTCCAGGATGGAAGTAAGGTGATACCCCCTGCCTCCCCTCAACAGATGTTCAGCACATGAAGGGCTGTGATAGGCAACACGTGCCCACTCAGCTGGATTCCAGGATCCTCTGTGGGATACGGGACCAGCTGTGGACAACAGGGTATGTTTAGGGTCTAGGGACTTTCACACCAGAGGAAAAGTAACCCTGACTTCTCTTCCCTCCCAACTAACATGAAAACAATGTCCGTTTTCTCCCAGGTTGTGCATGGGGTAGGGATGGTGTCTGCAGTGAAAGACACCAAAACCAACCATTCCAGATACATGTCAAGCCCACAACCCAAGCTCAGGAACCTTCCAGAAGAAGCAAGGGCTAGCCCAAGGGCAGGATTGGGTGGGTGGCCCACAGGGCCCCCCCTGGAGCAGCCGCAGACACAACTTGGCTAGAGTTCAGTTTGCTTGAAGAGAGAGGAATGTCAGCAAAAGAAGATGCACAGGTCCCCACAACAGCAAGACATACAGAACAGGCCAAGTCCGAACACAACAGGCAGAAGAGAAGGCATGAGGCCTTAATTCAAGGTCACCAACGTTTGGAGGAGTTCAGCTCTTACTTCTTTGCTTTGGTGATGTCCAAACTCATCGACGCCACTTCAGAGTGGTAATGGAGCCAGGAGGAGGGACAGCTCGGCGCTCCAGCAGGCCCGCATGTCACACATCAGTTTCCCGCAGCCCCTGCACTGACACCATCCTTTGCGATTTTCCTGGCAAACAGAAAGACTAAACCTCCTTTTCTTCCTAAAATATTTGCTTTCCAAAGTTAAGTGAATGGCAAAGCTAGAGCTACCCTAAACGTTGCTGTACTACAGCAAAACAAAGGTGGCGTCAGCACAGACGAATCTGGTGAGGATGCTGCAGTGCCGCAGACTGGGCGACTCACGCGGAAATGTCCTCACGGCCTGGAGGCTGGAAGTCTGGGATGTGGTGCCAGCACGGTCAGCTCTGGTGAGGCCTCAGCGTGGCTTCTCACTGTGTCTTCACATGGAGGAGAAAGGAGACTCTGCCTCTTCTTACGAGAGTACTGATGCCATCACAGGAGCCGCACCCTCAAGACCCCACCTAACCTAATCACTTCCCAAAGGCCTCTCCTCCCAGCACCATCCACTGAGGGTTTGGCCTTCTACACACTGATTTCAAGGAGATGCATTCAGTCCATAACAGCTGCCTCAGAGAATGTCTTCCCACACACAAGGACACACACACACACACACGTGAAACACAATTGAGATACATTCTTGTTTTTAACTTCATAAGTAGACATAGAAAAATGTGCACAAAAACACATAGTATAGCAAACAATATTAAGTGAATATTCATCCAATCCCCACTCAAGAAATCATCCCACCAGCAGCCAGAACCCCCACCCCTGCTGTGCCTTCATGGGGAGCTACCCCAACTAGGTGGAAGTGTCCTCACGGCCGCGCCTGCCTCTGCACTGAATTCACGGGGCCTGTCGTCTGTCACACCTTACTTCTTTCACTCAGCTTCATGTCTGTGAGACGATCTGAGTCGCCCTGTCATGGCTAAATTCCATCGTTCCACTGTATGAAAATAATATAATCTACTTCCTCTCCTCTACCACAGAAGAACATGTGGGTCACACCCAGCCTGGGAAGACTGAACGACGCCACCTGCGTGCTTCCTTGCATGTGTCCCTGACAATTCGTGCATGTGCTTCTGCTGCGTGGAGGCCCAGGAGCGAACTCTCAGCCACAGCAAACACCCCTCTGCAGCATTGCAAGACAACAGCCGCCCACCCACGGTCCACACCCCCAAGGAGCTCAGATGTTGTGTATCACTGCCAGGTGCAGGAACTCCCGGCCCACGTCACAGCCACACCTGGAGTTGGCGCTTCAGGTTTTTTCCAGTCTAGTAGGTGAGCCACTAAAGCTCATACGGCTTCCATCTTCATCGCTCCAATTTAATAATTAAGTTGAAGACCATTTTACATATTTCTCAGTCATTTGAATTTTCACCTTAGAATTTCTTGCTTAAATGTTTTGCAAATGTTTCCTTGGTTGTCTTTTTCTCAGTGATTTGTCAGGGTTCTCTCTGTTTCAAACATGAGATCTTTGATGGTTACATGTGTTGAAAACATTGTCTCCCATTCTGTGACTTGCCTTTTAATTAACTTTTACTAAGAGTTATTCTTGATTTGAATATAATTGAAATTATCAGTCATTCATTTCCTTTGGGATTAGTACTTTTTGTGTCCTGTCTCAAAACCTTCCTCTCCACCCTGAAGTCATGAAAACATTATCTTATCTGCTGAAAACCTTTATAGTCTTGCCTTTCACACCCACAAGTATAGGAGCTGGTGTCTCTGAAAGAAACTTGGTCCAGGTTCATTTTCTTCTAATGTGGATTCCAGCTGTTCTCATCTTCCTTTTTCCTTTCAAAGTGTCTTAAGGTCTTTCTGTGTCAGCACATCTATGTAACTGCATCTTGATGCTGAACCACAGCATGAAGCGTGTTTAGAATGCCTGTGGGTCTTCCTGTCATGATGTCTGAAGGGTGTTTAGAATGCCTGTGGGTCTTCCTGTCATGTCAGAAAGGTGTTTAGAATGCCTGTGGGTCTTCCTGTCATGTCAGAAAGGTGTTTAGAATGCCTGTGGGTCTTCCTGTCATGTCAGAAAGGTGTTTAGAATGCCTGTGGGTCTTCCTGTCGTGACGTCTGAAGGGTGTTTAGAATGCCTGTGGGTCTTCCTGTCGTGACGTCTGAAGGGTATTTAGAATGCCTGTGGGTCTTCCTGTCGTGACGTCTGAAGGGTGTTTAGAATGCCTGTGGGTCTTCCTGTCGTGACGTCTGAAGGGTGTTTAGAATGCCTGTGGGTCTTCCTGTCGTGACGTCTGAAGGGTGTTTAGAATGCCTGTGGGTCTTCCTGTCATGTCTAAAGGGTGTTTAGAATGCCTGTGGGTCTTCCTGTCATGATGTCAGAAAGGTGTTTAGAATGCCTGTGGATCTTCCTATTGTGATGTCTGAAGGGTGTATAGAATGCCTGTGGGTCTTCCTGTCGTGACGTCTGAAGGGTGTTTAGAATGCCTGTGGGTCTTCCTGACATGTCAGAAAGGTGTTTAGAATGCCTGTGGGTCTTCCTATCATGATGTCTGAAGGGTGTTTAGAATGCTTGTGGGTCTTCCTGTTATAATGTTTCACAGAATCATTGTTCCTCTGGTTCTTTACATCCATGCCTGAACATATTCATCACATAACTTCCCAGAAGTCAGGCTAGTGAGTTCAAGTTATGTGAATTTTAATTTTCTTAAATATTGGGCTGTCTTCCTTTAAAAAATTAATTCCCTCTCAAAATTATTAAAAATTCCCCCACATTTTCTTCCAGTACTTGTAAAATTCCATTATATTTTTAAGTCTATGTGCCATCTGGATTTTATTTTGGGGTAAGGAGTTTGGGAGGGACCCAGCTATATATTTTCCAAATGTCTGGCCAGTTGTCCCCAAATCATTACTGAATAATACATCTTTTCCCCACTGATTTAAAATGTCATCATTATCATATACCAAATACCAGTACGCATTTGGGTCTATTTCTAGGCCTTCTATTCTTTCCCTTCAATCTGCCCGTCTGTTCCCCACTCTGGCTTAAATGTCCCATCACTGCAAAGCACTGAGTGTGCAAGACTCAATGCCCCACACACAACTTCTCTTTTTCACAACTTTTCTGTTTAGTCTGATATTTGTGTCTGAACCTGGACTTTAAAGCTAGTTTGCTTAATTTCAAAAAAAAAATGTGTTGTGATAACTTATATGTATAGGTTTATTCAGAGAGAATTGATATCTTTACAGAATTAAACCTTCCAGAAGGTTTAAACATCCAGAAGCACTCTCTCCCCTGCCCAGTGGGTCCTCCCCATCTCCCAATCGAGACCACGGACCTGCCAGGTTCACCTTCACGAGGCCCCTCAAGGCCTTCCTCATTCTCCCTGGTCCAGCCAGGAGCTCTCAGCATGCAACACACCTGCCCCTGCAGCCTCGTCCCAGGCAGCCTCCCTTCCCACTCACAGACTGTGGCATCTTGAGGTGACCTTGGGCTGGAGAGCCAGGATTCCAGCAGACACCTCTGGGTCTGGGGGGCTCAATAAGACAGGTGGTGTGAGTGAGATCAGGAGGGGATGAGGAGGGAGACACTAAGGAAAGAAAGTGACCCTTTGGGAAATACAAGGAAAAACTATGCAAGAAGAAAAGGTCCCAACACCACACTTCGAAGTGGCACATCTGGGGCGGCTGCTGAAGGATAAATCTTGGAACTGCACAAAAAGCCTTCTCCTCTGAGTGGCTCAGGGGTGCAGAGGGCCCCATCTGGCTTGTCTGCAATCAACACTAGCACAGCTGCAACACTGGAGCAGCCCGAGGATCTGCTGGTCACTGCAGCTGCAGGGCTCGGTATGATGCTTTTAACTTGACAGTGTGAAAACAAAATGTTGGCTGACACAGACTAGGATGTAGGAGAATTAAGAGGAGCATCCTCACCTTACAGTGCAGGGAGCACCACAGGGGCTGCACAGAGGAGGACTGAGTCCACTCCTGATGAGACGGGGTGGAAGGCAATTGAGAAGCAGCAGCCACGGTGGGACCTCAATGCAGGAGAGGCTACTGTACAGAGGAGGACTGAGTCCACTCCTGATGAGACGGGGTGGAAGGCAATTGAGAAGCAGCAGCCACAGCGGGACCTCAATGCAGGAGAGGCTACTGTACAGAGGAGGACTGAGTCCACTCCTGATGAGACAGGTTGGAAGCTGATGAAGAATCAGCAGCCACAGCAGGATCTCAATGGGGGAGAGGTTACTGTACAGCGCCTCGACTTCCTGGACTCAAGCGATCCCCCCTCCTCCATCTCCCATAGCACCAGAATCACTGCAACTCAACCCACATGAGGGCTTTTAAAAATATCATCACAAACCCAGTATCGCATCAGAAAAATTATTTAACAGCAAATGCTCTTTAATAATGTTCTAATATCCAATCAGTGCTAAATTTTCCCCATTGATTAAAAAAAGTCATGTTACAGTTAATTTGCTTGAATCAATATCCAAGTAGGGTCCACACATCTACATAGCAGTGGCGCACACTGGGTGGAGTCAGTGTTTGTTGTTTGCTGTGAACCCAAGGAGCCACTGAGAATCCAGGCTGAGTCTTCTGACTTCTCCCTGATGCGTATTTCCTGGAAGCGTACTCATCTGTCTGCACAGTATCCATGCTCTGCGTTTCTCCTAACTGTGCATTCCACTAACTCCAACAGAACATTTCCAGAATTCCCCATGAGAAGAAACCTTGTCCCTCCAGGGCTCCTCAGCATCTGGGGCACAATGTCTCTGGACAGTTCCTGCAGGCAGGTGTCCACCCTGGCCTTGATAAGCAGACACCACTAGCCCTGAAAGCAAAGTGCTGCCTCAGCCTGCAGGACCACAGTGGATACACAGCCCACAGTCAGCACAGTGAGGAGCATTAGCACCAACCCTCCCCTCTTCAGGAATCACAGTAAAACCGCAATCAAAACTCCTTCCAAGTTCATTATTCACACCCTGAATGTTCTCAGTAGGGTCAAAACTTCAGGCCTCTGTGACTGAATTTTCATCCATTTTGAAGTGCTCCAATTCTCCTGGGAGTTAGAGGCGGGGAGTGTGAAGACATGGTTGAAAAGTGAGGTGAAAGAGCTTTAAGTGAAAGTTAACTCAGTGTCTCCTGGGCACTTCACATTCTGCAATGCCCAGAGTTTCATTATGCGTCCCTCAATATGAAATAAAGCAAACCTTATTAAATATCCTTAAAGCAAAATCCCACTGTCCTCCGAGCTCAGCCTGTTCTCTGCTTCCTCCTTTCCCACCCCAGATGTCACAGCAATCTTTCCCCTGACATCCAGAGGTTTTCAAGGGATGATGCTCAGACTGTGCACCAGAAACTGGGCTGGACGAGCAACCTGTGGCCCATCAGGCCCTCCAGGTGATGCTGACACAGGCTGAGAAGCTTGGCCCCCAGCTCCTGAGGCTCACCACAGCCGTGTCTTAGAAATACTAACACTGGCCTCAGCCCCTGAATTCTGATTTGACAAGAGGTGTGGCCTAACCACCAGGATCTTTTAAAGCTCCCCTGATTTTTAAAAGCTCTAATAGCAAAATACAAAAGCACGCTCCCACACAACTGCTTCCACAAGGTCAAGCCCTGGAGCCTCAGGCACCAGCATCGCCCTCTCATGAGGTCTCCCAACAAAGCCAGAACCATGATTGCCCCCACTTGACACCTCAGAGAGCTGAGGGTTGTGCAGTTATTTACCAGGTAGATTTGGGATTCAAATCCAGATCTGACTTTGAAACCAGCACCCCCAACACACCAGGCTGTGTGGGCTCCATGTTGCCTAAGAGCAGAGACCCTGCCTCACTTTCCCCTCTAGTCCCAGCAACCAGCACAGAGTGGAGCCTCAACACTAACTGTGGACACCACCCTGACTCCCAGGGCCACCCCGAGGGCTGCGTGATGTTCAGAGGTGCAACCTCCACATAGCAGAGTGAAACTTCAGCATGCTAACTGTGGACACCACCCCGACTCCCAGGGCCACCCTGAGGGTTGCGTGATGTTCAGAGGTGCACCCTCCACATAGCAGAGTGAGGCCTCAGCATGCTAACCATGGACACCACCCTGACTCCCAGGGCCACCCTGAGGGCTGTGTGATGTTCAGAGGTGCACCCTCCACACAGCACAGGCAGGAGGAGGGAAACTGCAGGGAGCGTCAGCAGAGGACACAGGTCGGGAAGACAGGAGGGGCAGGAGAGAGCAACATCTGTGGGGGCACAGGAGAGAGCAAGAGGACGGAGCCATAGCAAACATACTGTGACACCGGGGCCTTGGTGTGGCTGCCCTGGGCTAGGCTCGCCACACACACGGGGCTACAGGGACTTTGGGACCTTGCGTGCTGGTGTCTCCACTTTCCAGAGGGGACATCAAGGCTTGAAAGAGGTGGGACTTGACCAGGGTGCACACAGTTGCACAAGCACACACACGTGCTGCACCACAGGCACCCAGAGGAGAACCAAAGCCCCCACCACCTGGGACAAATGGGCTCCAGGGGCCTCGGGAAAGGGCTTCGGCTCTGCACCTCCCCTGCCTGTTACTCTACACCAAGCCGCAAACCCACCCACTCCTCAGTCCAAACATGGTAGCTTCTCTTTCTCCCACTACCCTGAGGGCCACACACAAAAGACTCGGAGAAAAGCCACAGCCTACAGGTCATGGGAGCTTGCTAAATGAAGTCCAAGTTGCCCGGTAGCCCCATCCAGCCACTGTGTCTGCCCACGTCATGGTGCTGGGCCCAGCCATTTCTCCATCATAGAACCACCAAGAGGCAACTGAGACCCCAGGAGCGTGGCAACACCCATAGGCTCCGGGATGGGACCACTGTATACGGGTTCCTCCTACAGGGGCTGTCTGCCTGTGAACATGGGAGGGTCATCCAGCTGTCCGGAAAGGAAAGCTCACCACCATAAGCAGTGCCACCTGCTGAGAATCTGACTGCTCTGTCCTGCACAGTCCCACGGGAAAGTCAAGGCATGGCCCCAGCTCCCTTCCCCAACCATCATTCTTGATCGAGCTTATTCTGATGCTGGTGCAAGAAATGTTCCACCCACCGTCAGCTGGTAAAGCCTGCCTAGAAATATACAAGAACAGATAGTAGTTCCAGTAAAGCACAGAGTACCTCAAAATAGAAGACATTACCGAGAGAAACATGTGCATGCTGGCAGCTAGCTGAAAAGCCAGCTGATCCGCATGAAGTTGGTTAGGAAAAATCTCCTTCTAGAGATGCAAACCATCATCTCACAAACATACTCATACCCAAGACAAACTGCAAAGGTACAGCAGCACTTCCTTTTCACTCAAGGATTCTGCCCAAAGGTCATGTGGCTTCACTTATGATCAGAAGTGACTTGGTCAAGAAGCACAGAAGAAACCTCAAATTTGCAAATTCCCAGTCTTTGGTCATTTTTTTCTTGGTTAAATGAGCAATAAAATCTTAAAGCATAAACACCGAAGCATACAGAAAACAGTGAAAAAGAATCATTCTAGTTGCATTTTCATCCAGTGTTTTCCAAAGCATAATTACGTATTGTTTCCAAAGCACTTGAATTCATTCTGCAGCCTGGGGGCCGTCTCCTGCGGTTCCCACTGCGTATTACATGCGAGCATTTCCTGAACCATGGAAAATGCCTCTTGGCCACCCACTGTAGAGGCCGACTGGACTGTTCCCAGCTACAACACTTGGTCATATGGGTTGTTTTAAAGTTTTCGACATTATAAATAAAGCTGTAACAAACATGCTTTCTAAATTATTTTTCACCCCCATTTTAAAAACACATCTTTAGGATGGCGTCCTACAGTCTGAGTTACGGAGTCTAACGATATTGGCATATTTGTGACTTCCAAGGAAACAATCCACACTTACCTCCCAGCAGAGGATCCCTGCCTGTTGCCGGATCTGGCGCTTGAGTGGACACCTCCCGTCCTTGGATGGAATAGCGTGGCTGTGTCAGTCCACACCTCCACACTTCTCTTTCCATGCTTTCGGACCCTCTGAGCTTCCTCCTGCGTGACCCACCCATGCCCTGTGCTGCTGCTCTCCTTTCTAAGTGCACACGCCAGGGCCCCTCTCTGGGACCGCCTTACCCCAAGCTTTGATCCCAACACTCGTCCTCTTTCTCCAAATAAAAGTAAATTGTTGGGCTCTTTCCAGAGGAGTTTGGGTGAGCTTGTCTGTCCAGGATGTCACTTCTCAAATGCAGTACAGATCCTCATAGAGCAGGCTGATGCTCCTCAGCACCTCCCTCCCAGCAGGCCTGTAAAGACCCTCAGACACCATGCCCTGGAGACCCCCATGGCTTCTACTATCTGGCATTTGTCGGGTGTGTTGCCATCATCTATACCACACCCCTGACCTCTGCCATACCTGCTCTCACATGATGCGATATCACATTTGCATTTGACAGAAAGCATGTGGAGCCCTAGAGACTGTATGTGAAAATGAAGGAGTGCTGGTCCTGCCTCAGCTATGAAAATGGTGGAGAAAGAGGGAATACCTGCCTGTTAACTTTCCTGAGGATGACAAGTCATTTGCTGCCTTAAAACTAAGAGAAAAAGAAGTGGCTCTTCCATGAATTCCCCTCCCCTCTTTCCAGCCTGAGACTTATCCTGTAGCTGCCTCAGGCCCTGTTTTTCTCACGTAAAACCTGTGCTGATGACAGGTTCATTTGCAAACACAGGAAGGACGTCCAGCTCACAGGCTGTAACACCACAAGCTGAGCTGCCTGTGATTACCTGGGGATCCAGGAAAATGGAGGATGAGTTGAAGGTTGGGACACAGACCCCTTCAGGCAAATCTACACACAGCTCAGTTTAATTGAAGAAAACCAATAACATAAATTATTTCAAATAGCAGTGCAACAATGTGGGGTAACAATTTATTTTATTCAGTACAGATACTGGTTCTATTCCATGTGCTTATTTTAGCAGTGATTTGAACTCAGAGCTGCAAGCTATTAAAGCTTGAGTCTTAAAAATCATTAGTCTCATGTTTCCCTAACCTGGCTGCACATTACCATCAGCTGTACTGCTTGAAAACTTTAACCCCAAAGCCCCAGATGGGAGATGCTGATTTGGCTGGTCTGGCATAGGATCTGGATCTGTGTAGTTTTTAAGCCTCCTACATGGTTCTAGTCATCTGGGCAACACTAACTAGAACAAGCCCCTGCATATGCAAGTACTGAGCTGGAGGGCCAAAGGGCAGAGGGGCCCATCATCTCCTAACTCTGCCTTTTCTCATTTCTCTCTCCCACCCCAAATCATCACCATTGTCACCATCATCATCACTAACATCACCGTCACCATCTCATCATCATCACCATCATGACCACCACTGTTGTCATCATCACCATCACTGTCATCACCATCATGTTGCCATTATCATCACCATCATCATCACCATCATCACCATCACCACCGTCATCACCATCACTGTCACCACTCTCATCACCACCACCATCACTGTCGTCACCATCATGCTGCCATTACCATCATCATCATCATCACCATCACTATCACCAGCCTCATCACCATCACTGTCATCACTATCATGGTGTCATTATCATCACCATCACCACCGTCATCACCTTCACTGTCACCATCAATATCACCATCACCATCAACACCATCATCACCATCACCATCACTGTCATCACCATCATGTTGTCATTATCATCACCGTTATCACCATCACCATCATCACCATCACCATAACCATCACTATCACCACCTTCATCACCATCACCATCATTACCATCACCATGACCACTGTCAAAACCATCACTGTCACCACCCTCATCATCATCACCATCATTACCATCACCATCACCACTGTCAAAACCATCACTGTTACCACCCTCATCACCATCACCATCACTGTCATCACCATCATGTTGTCATTATCATCACCATCATCACCATTACCATCACCACTGTCAAAGCCATCACCATCACCACCCTCATCACCATCACTGTATCACCATATCACCATCATCACCATCAACATCACTGTCATCACCATCACTGTCCTCACCATATCATCACCATCATCACCATATCATCACCATCATCACCATCACTGTCACCAACCTCATCACCATCACCATCACTATCATCACCATCATGTTGTCATTACCATCATCATCACCATCACCATCACCACCCTCATCACCATCACCATCACTGTCATCACCATGTTGTCAGTATCACCACCATCATCACCATCACCATCGTCATCACCATCATGTTGCCATTATCATAACCATCATCACCATCAACATCATCATCACCATCACAATCATCACCCTCATCACCATCACTGTCATCACCATCACATTGTCATTATCACCATCATCACCATCACCATCATCACCATTACCATCACCACTGTCAAAACCATCACCATCACCACCCTCATCACCATCACCATTACTGTCATCACCATCACTGTCCTCACCATATTACCATCATCACCGTTATCACCATTGCTGTCACCACCCTCATCACCATCACCATCACTGTCATCACCATCATGTTGTCATTACCATCACTATCATCACCATCACCATCACTATCACCATCACTGTCATCACCATGTTGTCATTGCCATTATCACCATCATTACCATTACCATATCACCACCGTCATCACCACCACCATCAGTCATCACCATCATGTGGTCATTACCATCACCATCATCACCATCACCATCACTATCACCATCACTGTCATCACCATGTTGTCATCGCCATCATCACCATCATTACCATTACATATCACCACCATCATCACCATCAACATCATCACCATCACTGTCATCACCATCATGTTGTCATTATCATTACCATCATCACCATCACCATCATCATCACCATCACCACCATCATCACCATCACTATCACCACCCTCATCACCATCACTGTCATCACCATCACATTGTCATTATCATCATCACCATCACCAGTCATCACCATCACCATCATCACCACCATCATCACCATTACCATCATTGTCATCACCATCATGTTGCCATTATCATCACCATCATCCTTACCATCACCATCATCACCATCACCATCATATTGTCATTATCATCATCATCATCACCATCACCACTGTAATCACCATATCATCATCATCACCATCATCATCATTGTTGTCATTATCATCATCACCATAACCATCATCATTGTCATCACCATCATCACCATTATCATCATCACCTTCATCATTACCACCTTCAATACCATCATAATTTTAATCACTGTCATCATCACCACCTTTACCATCATCACCACCCACTGCTGCTGTCATCATCACCACCATCATTGTCATCATCTTCATCACTATCACCACCACCATTGCTCTCATCATCTTCATCAGTATCATCACCACCATTGCCATCATCACTTCATCATCACCTTCATCACGTTTACCATCACCATCACTGCCATGCCATTTAATAAATATCACCAGTGTGCCAGATTCTGTGCTAAACCCTTATGCTCATTATCATTGACCTTCAGATAAATGTATTATCCCCATTTTAGAGGTAAGAGAGTTGAAGTTAAGTAAGGTTAGGTAATTTTCTTAGGATAACACAGCTAGTTACAGGGGCTATGGTGCTCTGATCGCAGACTGGCGCTAAGCTGCTTAGATACAAGTCCAGATTCCAGCACCCATGTGGCTGTAGACAGTTCCTAAACGACCCTGGGCCTCCTCTCCTGGGCCTCTTATGTGGAGACATGAGGAGTGCCCATCTTGCAGAGTTTGTGTGAAGTGACACTCTGGTGTTTCTCCAGCCTTCACAATCCAGTCCTATCAAGATCCATCAAGATCGATCATCACCATCACCACCATCATCACCATCACTATCACCACCACTGGGCCTCTTATGTGGAGACACCAAGAGTGCCCATCTTGCAGGGATTGTGCAAAGTGATGCTCTGGTGTCTCTCCAACCTTCACAATCCAGTCCTATCAAGATCCATCTTGATTCCTCCCCCACCTTGAGACTGTCTTGATTCTCCCACTGGATGTCTCTCCTTTTCCACCCCATGACCCCTCTGAATTCTTAAAATACTTTCTTGGTTTTTCATTCATATGACACCCCTTACTCCCTCACTGCATCCTCTATACACCTGATTTCTTTACCACTTTATCTCTGCAGCAGTCAGAAGCTCATGAGGGCACTTTTCGTTGTGATAACAGTTTTCACTAACATTCCTGAACATCTAATCTTTGCCATCTAATCTCTGGAGATACTGTACTAAATATTTTATTTGCAGTAACACATTAAATCTTACTACAAAGAAGGTATTATTGTTATGCTTACTTTAGAGACAAGAAAACTGAGGCTCAGAAAGTGTCAGTACTTGGAAGCACCGGAAGGCTCAGTTCTCACAGTCCAAGGTACCAGCTGTTACCACTGCACATTTTGTGCCCTTCCCAAGACACTGCCCTGAATGCATTTACCCAGGGGTTTCCAGTGGATTATTGGGAAGAGCCAGCTACCTGTCATGTGTGTGCTGGACTTGGGCTGGGCAAAAACAAACCTGATCTCTAATCACCTAAGCCTAGAACACAGAAAGCCAGCAGCTACAGTTGCAGTCACCTGGGCTGAGCTACTTTGCTGGGGACCCACAGTCACATGTGCTGAGCTGCTTTATATATTTTCAGGCCTTGAACCCAGATCCCTGCCTCACACACCCCACTTCCTGTTGCATAACACATCCATGCAGTAATAAAATGGACATTCTTAAAGCAGATAACCAAATCCAACTCATCCTTTTGTGAAATTTTTGTAAGTACATTTGAGGCGTGCAACACAATGCTGGATACATCCATGCAGGCTGAGGTCATGCCAGTTCGCACATCTGCTTCCACCCGCTCATAGAGGCAACCTGTGGGCAAATTGCAGTAAATAATCCAATGTCTTAACTATAGTCCACACAACTGCAGTTTCGTACCCTCTCACCCACATCTTCCCACTCTTCACCCCTGCCCCTGGTAACCAACTTTTCCACTCTGTTTCTATGTAGTCACCTTTTTTGTTAAGATTCCACATATGAGATCATGCAGTATCTGCCTTTCTGTGCCTGGCTTCTTTCACTTACTTCATATTATTTACAACACCATGTCCTCCAGATTCATCTGTGTTTTGAAAATGACAGGATCTCCTTTTTTAAGGCTGACTAGCATCCAGTGTGTATGTATACCATCATTGCTCTATTTGTTCAGCCATCAGAAACACTTGCACTGTCTCCACGTCCTGGTGAATAGTGCCGCAATAAGCATGGGGGTGCAGACACCTCTTCTGCCGATTTAGTTTCTTCTGGATCTATAATCAAAAGAGGTGTTGATGGTAGCACTGGTTTTAATTTCCAGAGGAACCTACACACCATTTCCTTCAACACTGTGCAAGTTGGCCAGGCGCAGTAGCTCACACCTGTAATCTCAGCACTTTGGGAAGCTGAGGCGGGTGGATCACTTGAGGTTAGGAGTTCAAGACCTGTCTGGGCAACATGGTGAAACCCTGCCTCTACCAAAAATTAGCATGGTGGCGCATGTCTGTAATCCCAGCTACTTGGGAGGCTGAGGCAGGAGAATCACTTGAACCCAGGAGGCAGAGGTTGCAGTGAGCCGAGATTGTACCACTGCGTGACACAGCGAGACTCTATCTCAAAAAGAAAACACACACACACAAAATACAATGTCCAAGTGTTCCTTTTCTCTACACACTTGCCAACACTTATTATCTTCTGTCTTTTTGGTAAAAGCCATTCTCACGGGTGTGAGGGGATAATTCACTGGGGCTCTGGTGTGCTTTTCCAATGATTAGTAATGTTCAGCACCTTCCCCATACCTGTTAGCCATCTGTATGTCTTCTTTGGAAAAATGTTCTATTCAGGTCCTTTGCCCTTTTTAATATTGTAGGGTTTGGGGTTATTTTTTCTTTTATTTTTTGTTTGTTTTTTGCTATCGAGTTGAGTGAGTTCCTTATATATTTTGGGTATTAGCACCTTGTCGGATATATGGTTTCTCAGTATTTTCTCCCACCCTGCAGGCTGCCCTTTCCTTTCATTGATGGCTTCCTTTACTGCACAGCAGCTTTCCAGTCTGATATCATCCCACTCATTTATTTTGCTTTTGTCACCTGTGTTTTTGGGGTTTTGCCCAAAAATTCTTGCCAAGGCCAATGTCAAGGAGCTCTTCCTGGAAGTTTTCTTCTAGGAGTTTTATGGTTTCAGATCTTACATTTGGGTCTTTAACCAATTTTAGGCAGGTTTTTGAGAATGGTGTAAGATAAGGGCCCCATTTCATTCTTCTGAGTGTGGATGTCCAGTTTCCCTGATACCATTTATTGTATGCTCTTTCCCCAGAGTTTTCTTCACACCTAGTTGACCATATATGGTCCAGTTTATTTCTGGGTTCTTCACTCTGTTCCCATCTCATCCCTTTCCATGGCATGTGTTTAAGTCGCTGGCGGAAACTTAGGCAGTTCTGCTGCCCGAGACGTGGGAGCCCCAGGGCAGGCCCTGTTGCTGTTGCTGTTGCGTTTGCGACACTGCAGCAAGCTGTTCGCATTCTTGCTTTCTCCGCCACCCACCTACCCTGTGCTATTTACCAGTAGCTAGTCTAGGATGCATCTGGAACTCTGGGGCTCAAGTGAAACAACGTGCATAAAATCTCCCATAAATTATAAGACACCCTGCATGTATAAGCAACAATTGTGGCATTTTTACAGTCTTTCTATGTCTTCAGCTAATAGCCTTAATAACAAAACACAGAATACTGTCACTCAATTAGACTAGGGTTATTTACCTAAGACAATTTTGCATTGCAATTTGCAAATTCTTAAATGGCAAATTAGTCATTTGCATTGATTTGCATGTCCACAGAGAAATATCTTTCATGCTAATTATGTTTTTGCTAACAAACCATAGAAGTAATAATGAGGAGACTGAATTCCCTCTCCCCACCTTTGGCTCTGTTACACAAAGCACAGCTGGCGTTTTAGCGCAAATATCAAATTTTTAGGGTGGGAGGGTTTCATGGGGATCGTCTTGCCCAGAGCTCCTCAACTCATAAAACATTACAGTCAACTCAGGAAGCTTAAGAGAAAAAGAAAGAATGGTGAAGCCTGGGTCCTGTCCCCCCACCCCCAAGTTTCTGATTCACTGGCACCAGGTGATATCTGGGCATCTCGACTGCCCCCAAGATTCTGACTCCATGGTGCCAGGTGATGTCTGGGCATCTCCCCTCCCCAAATATCCTGATTCACTGGCACCAGGTGATGTCTGGGCATCTCACCTCCCCCCAAGATTCTGATTCACTGGCGCCAGGTGATGTCTGGGCATTTCCCCCCACACCTTGGAGATTCTGATTCACTGGCACCAGATGATGTCTGGGCATCTACCCCCCCACACCGAAATTCTGATTCACTGGCGCCAGATGATGCCTGGGCATCTCCCCCCCACACCCCAGATTCTGATTCACTAGCACCAGGTGATATCTGGGCATTACCCCTCCCCCTGAGATTCTGATTCACTGGCACCAGGTGATATCTTGGGGGATCAGAATCCCCCAAGATTCTGATTCACTGGTGCCAGGAGGTGCCTGGGCACTGGTATTTTTCAAAGCTTCCAGGTGTTACTCACCACTGGCATGGCTGACCCCTTTGTTTTGCATGTAAGAAATCTGCCACACACAGAGCTGTGGCCTGAATAGAGGGTGGTGGCAGGGCAAGATGAGCCTGAGCTTCCTGACTGATGCCCAGTCCCCTATGTTTGTCCCACGAAGATGGAGACCCTATTGTGCATACAGGAATCCACCAGGCACACTCCCAGTGGATCGACAGTGTCGGGCTTTCAGACTGAGGACAGGAAAACACTGTCCTTGGCCAGGCATGGTGCTCACACCTGTAATCCCAGCACTTTGGGAGGCCAAGGTGGGTGGATCATTTGAGGTCAGGAGTTCAAGACCAGCCTAGTCAACATGGTGAAACCCTGTCTCTACTAAAATACAAAAATTAGCCAGGTGTGGTGGTGAGCGCTTGTAATCCCAGCTACTCAGGAGGCTGCGGGAGCAGAATTGCTCCAGCCTGGGCCACAGAGGAAGACCCTGTCTCAAAAAAACTACAACCACCACCAAAAAAAAACACTAATCCAAAATGAACAGACCCAAAAAATTGTAAAGTTTGGGTCTAGTTTTTGGCTTGTGTTTCTTTTTAAAGAAACAAGCAGCAAAATCCCAATTGTTGAGTCATCTTCCCCTGTGGTCAGGAGCTTGCCCAGCCCAGCTGAGCCCTCGCTCAAGAGTGTTTCTGTTCCTTGAAAATAAATGAGAATTAAACAGTGAGAAGCTCCTCAATCATAAAAACACCAAAGAGCAACTGTTCGTGTCCCAGCAAGTGAGAAAGAAAACCTAGCCAAAAAAATGCAAAGAATTGGGAACTGGGATTTGTCCTATTGTCCTAACAGGCTACCACCATAACGGGGTCTGATGTGGAAAATCAGAAAGCAGAAGTAAAAGAATCTCATTTGGACGTTGTTCATAAGCAAATAAGGTTATACCATTTTATTTCAACAGCTGGGGAAGACAACATAAAATTTATTGTGTTTTGTAGAAAAACTAAGGCTGAGCAATAGGATTTGACTGGTAGAGAGATATCAATACATTTTGCTAGTGACTTTTGGGATAAACTGCTTGTTGCTTGTTTTTATTTTTTGCATTTCTGCATCTTTCCAGAATCTCAAGTAACCTGGATTCTGTAGATCTTCTCCCAGTGGGTGCTCAACACAGCTCTGCCCTCTCCTCTAAGAGATCAGCTCCAGAAAATGTTCATGCAAGGATGCTCACAGCAGCCGAATGTTGGGAACAACCCATGTGGGTACAAGTAAGATGTGGTGTGTCCCACAATGGAGCAGGCCTCGGCCACAGCAGCAGCAAAGGGTACTGCTGGAAGGTAGCACTGGGTCATCCGGACCGACTGTCCATCGTCAGTTACCAATCCAGCTCCTTGTTGTACCCTTTCCCCCTTCTCACTAATGCACTTGGCCAGTCTTTTAAAAATTACAAAAAAACAAATGTATATACAGTGGGAAGTGATGCAAGAGGGGTCAGAGGGAAGGACATGGCATTCACCAAGGTGGAGAACAGGCTCGGTACAACTCCCAGCTCATGTTACTGTGAAATATGTGACTTTAGGTGTCTAGCTCTGTGTGTTTTTTGTTTGTTTGTTTGTTTTTTGAGACAGAGTCTCGCTCTATCGCCAGGCTGGAGTGCAATGGCATAATCCCAGCTCAATGCAACTTCCATTTTCCAGTTTCAAGCAATTCTCCTGCCTCAGCCTCCCGAGTAGCTGGGATTACAGGCACGCATGACCATACTCGGCTAATTTTTTGTACTTTTAGTAGAGACAAGGTTTCACCATGTTGGCCAGGATGGTCTTGATCTCTTGACATCATGATCCACCTGCCTCGGCCTCCCAAAGTGCTAGGATTACAGGCGTCAGCCACTATGCCCAGTCCTCTGTGAGTTTTCATAGATCACATGGATCTTTTTTTTTTTTTGAGACAGAGTTTTCGCTCCTGTTACCCAGGCTGGAGTGCAATGGTGCACTCTTGGCTCACCACAACCTCCGCCTCCTGGGTTCAGGCAATTCTCCTGCCTCAGCCTCCCTAGTAGCTGGGATTACAGGTGCATGCCACCATGCCCAGCTAATTTTTGTATTTTTTTAGTAGAGATGGGGTTTCACCATGTTGACCAGGATGGTCTCAATCTCTTGACCTCGTGATCCACCCGCCTCGGCCTCCCAAAGTGCTGGGATTACAGGCTTGAGCCACCACGCCCAGCCGGATCTTTTTTTTTTTTAGCTGGAGGCTTGCTCTGTTGCCCAGGCTGGAGTGCAATGGAGCGATCTCATCTCACTGCAACCTCTGCCTCCCAGATTCAAGCAATTCTCCTGCCTCAGCCCCACAAGTAGCTGGGATTACAGGTGCACACCACCACACCTAATGTTGTATTTTTCTATTTTTAGTAGAGATGGGGTTTCACCATGATGGCCAGGCTGGTCTCGAACTCCTGACTTCAAGTGATCCACCTGCCTTGGCCTCCCAAAGTGCTGGGATTAGCGGCGTGAGCCACAGCACCCAGCCAGATCACACAGAATTTTAAGGAGCAGGTGGGAATGCATCTTGGTCAGTGAGCACAGAAGACCAGGGGGTGGCCTGCCACATCTGCCTGAGGCTTCTGGGGCAGCTGGAGAAGCTGCTGCAGGGAGGGGCCGTCAGGACCTGCAGGTGCCAGAAAGCCCTGCCCTCCCCTCATAGTCTCTGCTGCAAGGGGAGACCTTTAAAAGCCTCAGTTCTCAGTGGTCTTGCCAAGTGCACATTCCAACTGTGGCCTTCGGCAACTCCTATTTAAACGCATCCACTTAATCTTGTGTTATATTTTAATCCCTTCACCAAAAAAACTGGGACCTCGCTTCGACTAACTGGACTTCCGTGTGGCCAGGCCAGAGGCGCTTCAGGTGCCTGGAGGTCTGGGGAACCGGGGCCAGGCTACTAGGACTCCAGCGCTCTCTGTGTACCAGACAAGTGTGGTTTTCTCCCTGCCTCTCACCAAGCACTTTCAGAGGATCAGTTTTATTTCAAGAAAAATTAAAGTTTTTTTTTCCATAAATTGCACTCCTGTCCAATCTCATGGTGCCCTTTTAGTCGGTGAGAAGCTGAGCAAGGTCTCCTCCCCTCCAAAGGACAACAGAAAGGCCAGCATGGGAAGGTGGGCTCTACTTACCCAGGAAAGGCCAGCACGGGAGGGTGGGCTCTGTTTCCGAGGCAAAGTTGGCATCTCCGGAGCCAGCTCCCCACCCACCCGCCCTCTTACAAACCACGCCCACCAGACTTGACAAGGGGATCTTCAACAGGGTCTCACCCACACACAGCACTGCTGGGTCTCCAATCTCTGGGGTTTCCTCTAATTCTGAGGACAAGTTTAAAACCTTACTTAAAAAACTGATTTCAAGCCAAATGAATAAAGAACGCTCTACAAACCATTTCTCTGATTTCTGAATTGAAAAGCACCTAAGAAGAGTCTGGCAACTGGTGAGTGCCCCGGTTCCAGGCTCCTCTCAGGCCGGTGCGTGACTGCTGCCAGCCCTGCCTGCTGAGTCCACTGTCAGGGCAAAGAAGACATGGGACAGCCACAAAAGGTGGCCCAGGTGACTCCAATCATGCCTCTGGCCCCTACCAAGGTTCCTGCAAGTATTTCATGTAACGCAATTATTCTTCCCTGCAACACCCATCTGACCAATACATGACCATTTCCTCTCTTTTGCCAGCATCACAAAGAGTTCACAAGAGACAAATCAAAGTTACCGTGGGTCCTAGTAGCAAATCTAGAACCTGTATCTTAAAGGCAGATAATCATGAACCACCAGAAATTCCGTGGGCCATTGAGAAGCCTCAGCACGAGCTGATTGGAGGAAGGATGGGAAGATGCCAGGTCAGTATGGTTCCAGATCCGACTCTGCCTGTGTGTCACCAACATTTAACACTAAGGGACAAAGTTTGTCATCCGTTAAATGAGAACAAAAATCCATGTCCTGTTACCATTCACTGCAGAAATCTAACAAGATAACACAAATAAAACACTCAGAAAGGCATAAAAAGCCATGCACATGCACTATTATTACTTTATGCCATTTCAGTCACAAGAGCAGGTGCTGGGTGCTGTTCCAGCTCAAGAATATCTCAAAGCACCTAGGCCTGGAATCAAGAGAGCAGGTTCCAAAGTAGCCCCAGGCTAAGCTTTGCACACAGACTCAGGCCATGGTTATCACCCATGAGTTAGAGTAAAATGACACCCTTCAATCCACTCTCAATACAGATCCCGCCTCTATGGAAACTGCCTCAAAAGAAAGACTGGACCAATGTCCCAAGAACAAGGAGATGGCACCTCTGAAATACCAAGGCAGTTGCATGCAAGGGCCTGAGAGCTGGCTCCACTTTCCTCCCAACTCTACCTTCAGTGACACGGACAGTGACAGGAACAGGGAGGCAGCAGTGGTGGGGGGCGCACTCCAGAGAACCCAGCTGCAAATCAGGCCCCCACACGAAGGGCTGCTTGTCACGCATTTGCCCACACTGCACGGCATTAGGCCTGCAATTAGTTCTGAGTTACCCACACACCAAAAAAAACAAGTGTTTGTTGTATGCATAATCTTTAGAATCCACATTTGGTTCAACATTTTTGCTTTATTAATGAAAGGGTTTGTGCTTCTCAAAGTGGTATGAGCACACACAGACAATATCCCTCTGAGCTCCTGGTCGTGGCTGAACATCAGCAGCTTCACCATCCCCAAGATCAATTTCCTATCTCCTCCAATCCTGTTAGCAAATGAACCAAAATTAAATCGGGGTTTGGCAGATTTCTCTAAATACTGCAGCAACTCAGAGTCCTGCTAAGGAGAAGGAGGGCTGTGAACATATGTCAGAACCCTCACACCTCTTGCCGCCACAAGTGCACTTCATTCTCTGAATAAAGCACCTCTCATGAGCTGCTTGGTGAGTCTGCATCCACGCCCAGCATGGCGGGCCGGACAAGCTGCACCCACCACGTGGCCTCTGCTGCGTTTGCGCACCCTGACTGAGAGAGACCTCCGTGTGCTGCTCCCCTCTTCCTCCTCCCCCTCCTCCACAATTCAGTGACAGTCTCCATGGCAACTAGACTCCAAGAAAAGAGAAGGAAAGGTTTCCCGGCTCTGAGCAACGGGTGCTTCGTAAACTGCAAAAACACATTCTCCAAACATGGGGTCCCAAGGGCACTGTCAGGCTCAGAAAATCTAGAGAGATCTGAAATGAGCTCATTCAAACCGACCTCAGCCTTGGAAACAGCACAGCCATCCAACAATCTAGCAGTCAACCATGATAGATTGGGGGGAAAAAACATGTTTTAAACATTAATTTTGTAAAAGAAAAAAGGCAGTTGGCTATCAATAGCTTAAAAACCAAATGTTTTAAGTATTTAAAAGAAAATAAATTCTGAAGCAAAAACTACTCCCTTATAAATCTCAGATATTAACATTCCTTGGGGCTGATATCTAATTTGTTTAATATCTTTCACCCAGGCCCATGACGTCCCTTCATGGTAAAAGAAAAACAATCCCTTTCTCCTGCGTCAGTGACATTCCTAGGTGGACATCGAGATCTCGTGCTTAGGAGACCAAAAGCAGAAGCAGGGTGTAAACAAATGAGGCCAGCCCTGGCACTGGGCGAGAGCAGCACTGGCCCCGTGCCCCCTGTGTAGCCCACCATGTCCCCTCACAGCTGGCCATTGGTCACGGCAAAGCCAGGCCGCCACGCAAGAGGCACAGTGAGTGCTGCAGGACTCTGCATTCAGAACTTGCTCCTCCGCCAGAAAGCAGATTAAACCAGCAGATTCAGCCATGGGAAGGCCTTGGACCCTGGGGCCTCTGGAAAACGCTGCCTGTCACTGGCACTCTGAGTTAACTTTTCCCTGAGAAATGCTCAACCCCACCCAGTTTTTGGACATGCCTCTGGAAATAAGCAAATGAGTTCATCTACTAAACAATGCCTTATCCTCTCACACCTTTGAAACGTGAGACAGTAGAAAGTGAATTTGGTAAACAGGTGAGTCAACCCAGCATCTACGGATACATTTCAAGAGCATCTTAGTAAATGTCGGCAGGTTGCACATAGTGTGCCCACGTGCCCGCCCCAAATAGGGGCCGCCTCCACAGAAGTCAACCACCCAGCAGAATGTGGGCACTCCTCCTCTGAGAGAACCCGCTTCCCAAGGTCAGCTGAAAGGCAGGTGCTCATCAGACCAGTGAGGGAGTCGGATGTAGGGTTGCCCCGTGACTTCAAGGAAGCACTCGCTGCTCAGCAGGAGAGAGGTCAAGAAGAGAGGCCGGGTGACGCCACAGGGTGCCGTGTGGGATCATGCATACCATATTCTGCAGACACCGGTGTCCCGGATGGCTGAAAACAGGACAATGACACAAACTGGCATTTGACCCTCCTGGTGCCCCATGGAAATAGGCCATGAGGAGTCTGGTGGTCCCTGATCAGCTCCAGAGCAGATGCTCATGAAGGAGGAAGGTGGTCATAAGAACCCCAGCTGCAGCACAGTCTCTAACCTCACACACAGAAGAGCTGAGGGCTCTCGGGAGGCACAAGTTTCCCTGAAGCCATGGTGGCAGCCAGGAGTGCTCAGGACCCTCTAAGCGATATGCTGTCAGAGGAGCAGCCTGTGTATGTCACCAAAGAGCATGGTTCTGGGGGAAGCCCCGCAGGGCCTCGGTGACTCCCTAGCTTCACCTGTCTGGGGCCAGATGGTGCTCTTTCTGTTGTGGGTGAGAACAGCTTCAGCACCTGTTCCAGTTCCCTTGATCCAGACACCCCCTGCCACTCTCCCAGCGAGACCATGAAGATGAAGATGTGGGAGAAATGTGAACATGATCAAGAAGACCTTGTACATGCCTCACCCCTGCTTAACAAGACTGCAGTGCCCTTGGGACAATCACCAAGGATGGGTCCACTCAGCAGAGGAACCCCCAGGAAAGCACCGCTCAGAAGAGCATGCCCGCCTCCACCCCTAGCTGACACCCCCACCCCAGCCCACCACTCCAATACCTTCTTGGGGTTTTAGGGTATGCCCCTGCTGGGCTCATCCTCCAGCTGTCTTGAATCCTACCTCCCCTCTCAGGCCTGTGGGGTCAAGTACCTCCTAACTAATGTGAAACTGGAATTCCAAGACAAGGCACACACATACATAGAGACTGTCTTGGTTAAGGTAATTTACTCTCTCAGTGGGAATTCCAGTACAGTCTACATAAGCATCGCTAAGGCAGTCTCATGGAGAAGAAGTTTGGGAGTCAGATACTTAGACCCTCACTGTGCAGAAATACAATACCCAGAGTTCCTTCCTCACGGTCCTCAGTTAAGGAGGGACCTCGAATTCCAGGGCTGAACATGGGCTCTGTACCTGCATATCATGCTTACGACTATCTGTATTCCTCCTGAGATTTGTTTGTTGGTTTGTATGTTTGTTTTTGAGACAGAGTCTCACTCTGTCACCCAGGCTGGAGTGCAGTGGCTGAATCACCGCAGCCTCTGCTTTCTGGGCTCAAATGATCCTCCCACCTAGGTGGGGGCTCCTGCTGTGGAGACTGACTGCTGTTTCAACAATGACAGTAACACCATGGTTCTCTACATGGCAAGAATTTCCCAGCTGGGATTCTAGATCCCAATAAGGTAGGGTCGGGTAACTTTCTGCAGCACAAACTGAGTTCACTGCTCCTAAGTAGCTGGGACCACAGGCACATGCCACCACGCCTGGCTAATTTTTACACTTTTTGTAGAGATGGGGTTTTGCCATGTTGCCCAGCTAGTCTTGAGCACCTGAGCTCAAGCAATTCGCCTGCCTCGGCCTCCCAAAGTGCTGGGATTACAGGCGAGAGCCACCACACCCCGCCCCACTGTTTATTTAGAACAAGACACATTATTTCTCCAGTATTTATGATTTTAGTTACAAAGCCACATTCGACATAGCACCAAAGTCGAATCATATCAAGGATACCGCTGTGCACAGCTGTCCCAGCACAAGACAGCAGGGCCATCAGTCACCAGCACATGAATGACCGTAAGTCACCAACAACTGCCAGCCAAGGACGCACGAAGGATCAGCGCGCGTCTCCATGAAAATTCATAGCACGGACGCTGCTCGGAGGGAGAGGAGAGCAGGGCTGCAGCAGGCACCGTCACCGGGTCTGTGCCGCCAAGGGGCCGGGCGAGACCCTGACACCAAGTCAATCTGCTTCTCCGTCTGAGGCTGCCAGGCAGCGGGGAGGCTGGGAAAAAATGTAAAACATGTTCCTCTAAAACGAGGGCATCCTCAGCCGGATACTATAAATATGCCCAAGTAAGAGGAGATGCGAAAACGTCAATCTGGTTCTGTTCCTCCCCCTTCTCCTTCCTCCCAGCAAACTTCTGGTAAGAGAGAAGCCTGCAAAGTTTGAGGAGCGAATGGCATCTTCAGAGCCCACTGGCTGGTGTCACGCTCACACATCGGAGCTCATGTGTCTGTGAGATCCAAACTGTGCTGAACTGATTTTAACTCGCCTCAAGTCATTAATCTGAAGGCCCAATATCACATTGCTTTTCCTGTAAATATACCAAATTAAGCTGAGCTTCACACAGTTCAATTCAGTAATTAGTTTCCACCCCCTTTTAGGTTTGATTAATTGGAATTTGGGAGTGGTATGAGACTGCCGGTCACACGAGTGATGTGGTTTTGTGTCTCATGGCTGTGGGTCTTCGGCTGCCACAGCCCCTCGGAGAGGATGAAGGGGCAGGGCCCTGCTCACAAGGTGGCTGGGACAACCTAGATGGTCCCGTTCATTACTAATAATGCAAAGATGGTGAGACCATTTCCCTGTACTGGCGACTAGATTTTCTTCATTAAGCACATACCAAGCAGTCATACCTGACATAGTTTAACATGCCCAGAAAACAGGGCATACAGCAAATGGGAAATGTCTGTTACCTCCGAGTGGGACTGAGATGTGGTGAAGGGACACAAAAGGAATTTTTGCTTTTTATTCTAGATAGTTGCAAACTATTCACTTTGACTATATCCATATATGTACAATTCATTTTTTTAATTGATGCTCCTGTAAGAGAAAAGTGGGCAAAACCATAATGGCCAACACCTTCCCTTCTTATACAATCAGACTTTGCTGCCATCGTCCCTACTAAAATACCACCAAAGTGAGTAAAACCATAATGGCCAACACCTTCCCTTCTTATACAATCAGACTTTGCTGCCACTGTGCCTACTAAAATACCACCAAAGTGGGCTCAAGAGCAGGGGCCACACAGAGAATTTGATTTAAAAGAATGGGCTGAATTTTTTAATAAAGCGAAAAATAAAAATGACACCCCAGTAGTATATGCTTCCTGCAAGTTTACAGAAATCCATGCCATTTCCAAGGCAGCACCGCCCACCCCTCGCACCCGGTTTTCTGCCCGGCCTGGGATGTGGATGGGCCCCATGCTGGCTGCAGACGTGCCCTTCTGGAAAAATCAACTAAAAGCTCAGTCAAGCCATGGCCAGGTTGCTCGTTGCAGCCCCCATGGGGACCAAGCTGCGCCAACAGGCAGGGAGCACAGTGGGTGTCCCCAACTCTGCCATGACACATCTCCACACATCCACCTTGGCCAGGAAACAGGAAGGTGTCTGAAGACAGAGAAGGGGAGATAGCATTGGCCAGTGGGGCAGGGGTAGGACCAAGAGCCTGAGGGGCAAGAAACCAAGTGGGAAGAACCAAGTAGGGGCAAGTGGGCCAGGACAAATGGAGAGTGACCACGGAGTGCGGGGCAGGCGCGGTGGCCAAGAGAATGGACCAAGTGGGTCATCACACGGCATGGGAGCCACAGCGTGGCTGAGATTCAAGAAGGCTCAGTCCATGACTGCTAGGCCTGGTCCCCAGGACCCAAACTGTCCAGAAATCAGCCAACACTCCTGCAGGTGCACTGCAGTGGACGGCTAGAGGAGAGAAAGGAGCTCCTTACAGACACTCGAGAAACTGCAAACTGGGAGGGGCGTTAAAGCACAAACCTCGACAATTCTCCAGGCATTTGGTGCTGTGAGTAGGGTGACGTTGGGTGTCTCTGGGGACGGGCAATAAAGGAAGGCTTAGCACATCTGTAACAAATGAGGAGGCAGAGGCCTGCTCCAATCTCAAAGACTGGGTGGGATGGGGAGCCGTGACAAGGGCCTGGGAAAGAAAGTGGAGTGGGAGTGATGCCAAAGTTAACCTGATAAGGAAGCTGCTTTCAATGCATCACTGAGCTGGACTCACACAGAGAGGGACCACACAGCCCAAGACTGGTCTTCGGTTTCAACTTGATCCTGTGGGAAAGAGGGAGCCATTGAAGGTTCCACATCAGGAGGACTGTTGGGGACAGACAAGAAACACAGCTTACAAAGGTGGGCTCTGACTTGCATACATGCCGCCGTACAGAGATGTGATTCAGCAAGTGTTTAATCAGCAGCCTGTGTGGCAGACATGTCCCTATTCCCAATGACAAGGAGCTCCTACACAGTCCAAGACAAAGACAAAACTCAGTGGGAAGGTGGCAAAGATGGGAGCAGCAACTTAAAGAAGAGATGAAAGTGGCCCCACAGGACAGGAAAACACATTTCACTGCAGCAGTCGTGGGGAAACGCAAATCTAACGATACTCACACACTGCTGGGGGCAGTGGCTCTTGTCTTTCTCAGCTGTGGACGCACCACAGAATGGGACCTATGAGAGAGTGACTCAGGGCAGAAGAGGTAAAGAGCAGGGGCCAGAGACGCAGACAGACCGAGGTGCAAACTGGCTGCCCGAGAGCTGTAGCCTAGAGCAAGTCACTTATTCCAATGGCCTCACCCTAAGGCTGTGAGTGGGGCTGTCAGTCAATGTGAGTGGAACAGCGTGGCACAGGAGGTATTCAGCCGTGAGCTTTCTGTGAGCGCTCAATACAGAACAGCCTGCATGTTGTTGCAGAGGCCTGGAGCTCCCGAGGGCTCTGACAGCCTCCCTCCCTCACTCCTCCACTCTCCTGACTACAGCTTTCTTGAGGTCTGAAGGAAGAGGTCAAGTGAACGCTTCTGTTGGACGAGCTCAGAACATTTTTCCCTCATCTTCATGATTAGCTTTCACAGGCTGTGTCTGCCAGCTCCTGTTGCGATCTGGGGGCCACCAGCGTGCTGCAACAACTCTGACACGCGAAGCTGTTCTGTTTTATGGAACTGGAAAAAATCGAGTATTAAGTTTTAATTTGACACCTGGGAGGCTGTGGAAAAGCACAATGAGTTTGGAAAAAAGATGAGGTAGCAGCCGAGAGATCTACGCTCTGTGAATCACAAACCACTCAGAGAGCCTGAAATGCTGAGGCCTCGTGGTGGAGAGACTGTCCCGGGTGCTGCCTGTGGGGGCGGGTAGAATGAGCCTTGCACTCCCCGGACGCCCCAGGGCCTGAAAGCTAATCCTCAGAGAGCTCACAGGGTACCACAGGTCATGTGCGCAAGCCAGCTCTACAGTGCAGTGGTCGCTGTCCTCACTGCTATGAGAGCCGTGGCTCCTGCTCTGGAGAATGACTACTGTTCGGATAACGTCAGCAGCATCGCGGAATGACTGAGCTGCTGGTTCTCTACACAGCAAGAATTTCCCAATTGGGATTCTAGATTCCAAGAAGGTAGGGTCTGGTAAGTGTTTCTGCAGCACAAACTGACTTCACTGCTTGACCAGACCTAAATAAAGAGTTTGAGGAGCATGACCTTCTGAGGAGCACGTTGGCAGCAAGACGCACAGTCACACCCAGCTTTGTTCCATGTCGCAGGGGCTGCGTTTCACACTGAAGCCTGTGGCGACCCTGTGTGGACCCAGGGGATCGGCACTGCTTTCCCCGCAGCACGTCCTCATTGCCGTCTCTTTGCTAAGTTTTGGCAATTTCCACAGTGTTGGGTCCCTGAGCTGTGATCTGTGATCTCCCATGTTACTGTCATCATCATTCTGTCATTCTGGGGTACCAGGAACGGTGCCATATGAGACAGGGAACATAACTGATGAAGGCTGCGTGTGTTCTGACCAGCCATCCCCCAGCTCTCTCCCTCTACTCAGGCCTCCCTATGCACTGAGACACGACAATATTGAAATTAGGCTAATCAGCAACGCTGCAATGGCCTCTAAGTGTTTGTGTGAAAGAAAGAGCCACATCTCTCTCACTGTAAATCGGAAGCTAGAAATGATTAAACTTAGTGAGGCAGTCATGCCAAAAGCCAAGAATAGGCCCAAAATGAGGCTTCTTGTGTAAATCAGTTAGGCAAGTTGTGAACACAAAGGAAAAGTCCTGGAAGAAAATTAAAAGTGCTGCTGCAGAAAATGAGAAAGTGAAACCGCCTTCCTCCTCCTGCAGAGAAAATCTGAGTGGTCTGGACAGAAGGCTGAGCCAGCCACAAGATTCCCTTAAGCCAAAGCGAACCCAGAGCAAGGCCCTAACTCTTCAATTCCGTGGAGGCTGAGAGAAGTGAGGAAACTGCAGAAGAAAACTCTGAAGCAGGCAGAGGTTGGTTTCTGAGGATTACGGAAAGAAGCCGTCTCCATAACGTAACAGTGCAAGGTGCAGCAAGTGCTGATGGAGAAGTGGCGGCAAGCTCTCCAGAAGATCTGGCTGAGGTCATTGATGAAGGTGGCGACTCTTACAACAGATTTTCAATGTAGATGAAACAACCTTACATTGAAGAAGATGCCATCTAGGACTTCCATAGCTAGAGAGAAGTCAGTGCCTGACTTAGAGCTTCAAAGGACAGGCTGGCTCTCTTGTGAGGGGCTAAAGCAGCTGAGGACTTTAAGTCCAAGCCAATGCGTGCTCATCCCAGGGCCCATAAAATCATGCTAAATGTATGACTGTGCACTGGAACAAAGCTGGATGAAGCACATCTCTTTATGCAATGGGTTACCGAAAATTTTAAGCTCACTATTGAGACCTACTGCTCAAAAAAAAATTCCTTTCAAAATATGGCTTCTCATTAGCAGTGCATCTGGTCACCCAAGAGCTCTGATGGAGATGTACAAGGAGATGAATACTGTTTTCATGCCTGCTAATACCTCATCCATTCTGCAGCCCATGGATCAAAAGATAATTTCCATTTTCAAAACATATTTTAAAACACACTTTGTAAGATGATAGCTGCCATAGACAGTGATTCCCCTGATTGATCTGGGTAAAGTAAACTGAAAACCTTCTGGAAAAAATTCACCATTCTAGATGTCATTGAGAACAGTTGTGATTCATGGAGGGAGGTCAAAATAGCAACAGGCACAGGAGTTTGGAAGAAGCTGATTCCAAGCCTCATGCACAACTCTGAGGGATTCAAGACTTCAGAAGAGGAAGGAACGCAGATGTGATGGGAACCACGAGGGAACTAGAACGAGTAGTACTGCCTGAAGATGTGACCAAATTACCACAATCTCGTGATAAAACTTTAAAAGGTTGAGTAGTTGCTTCTTAGGGATAAGAAAATAAAGTGGTTTCTTGATATGGAATCTACTCCTGGTGAAGATGCTGTGAGCATTGCAAAAATCACTACAAAGGATGTAGAATATCACATAAACTTGATAAGGCAGTGGCAGGGTTTGAAAGAATTGACTCTAATTTTTTTGCGGGATTTTTTCATTGTTTTGAGATGGAGTCTTGATTTGTAGCCCAAGGTGCTGGGATTATAGGCATTAGTCACTGTACCTGGCTCTGGACTGACTCTAATTTAAAAAAAAAATCCTACTGTGGATAAAATGCTATCAAACAGCATCATGTGCTACAAAGAAATGTTTCGTGAAGGGAGAGTCAACTGATGCCGTCAACTTGATTTGTCTTAGTGTAAGAAACTGCCACAGTTGCCCAATCTTCAAGCAACCACAGTCCGGATCGGTCAGCAGCCATCAACACTGCTGAAATAACATGTTTAAGGCATGGACTTAACTAAAAATAACTAAATTTTAACTAAAAATAACATGTTTAAGGCATGGACTTTTTTTTTAGACATAGAGCTACTGCACATTAACAGACCACAGTATAGTAAATCGTAACTTTTATATGCACTGGGAAACTAGAAAATCTGTGTGACTCATTTTATTGTCATATTTGCTTTATTGCAATGGCCCAGAATTGAACCCACCATATCTCTGCCTGTAGATGCTCAATCAGTGGTTTTTTGATCTTCACAAATGAGCCGATTCACTAGCTTTTCTTGGGCAAGTTCTGAAGCACACTTTTGGGAATTGATATGCAATATTTACATAGACTGGATTCAGGACAAGCCACCTCAAAACATGGCAGTGTGGCTGTTGAGAAAACAGCAAAAGGAGACCACAGAAACCAGAATTCCCCGGTCCCTTCTCCCCAGAGACAGGTCATACGGCCCTCATTCCAGAGGGGCCTCCCTAGGCCTGGAAGGGAATGTCCTTATCTCCAAAGACACAGAAGTGCCTAGAAGACTGTGGACAGGTTTGCTGAGCCCTGCAGCCTTTGGTGTCAGAGCACACCCGTGCCCTCTCATCACGCTTCTGCACAACTGTCCATACAATAGTCTTCCCTGTTTCCTGGGTCTTCATTTCTTTCCTTCATTTGTTTATTTGTTTGTTTGTTTGTTTTGAGACAGAGTTTCACTCTTGTTGCCCAGGCTGGAGTGCAGTGGTGTGATCTTGGCTCACCGCAACCTCTGCCTCCTGGGTTCAAGAGATCCTATTGCCTCAACCTCCCGAGTAGCTGGTATTACAGGCAGGCACCACCATGCCCAGCTAATTTTGTATTTTAAGTAGAGACCAGGTTTCTCCATGTTGGTCAGCCTGGTCTCAAACTCCCAACCTCAGGTGATCTGCCTCCCAAAGTGCTGGATTACAGGCGTAAGCCACCACACCCAACCCTGGGTCTTCATTTCTGAAGGCTCCCATGTCACATAGAAAACCAGTATTATAGGTACTCAGGAGGCTGAGGCAGGAGAATCTCTTGAACCTGGGAGGCAGAGGTTGCAGTGAGCCAAAATTGCACCACTGCACTCCAGCCTGGGTGACAAAATGAGATTCCATCTCAAAAAAAAAGAAAACCAGTATGAAAAACGTGGGTAGGGTTTTCTCGTTAATCTGTGTTTTGTTGCAAAAATCTCAGCCGTGAAACTGGAGAGGGGTGAGAAATTACTTTTCCCCCCATGGCATATAAACCTTTTATTTGAGGGCTATGGAGGCATCTCTTGTGCCATGAAATGATGGCTCGTTTATTCTTTATCCACTCACTCAATAAATAATTTCCTACTGATGGCCCTCACTGCTTGCTGTGGCTGAGAAAACAAATGGGGTTAATGGCATGGCTTTGAAGAGTTAGGAAGATATTTTGAATTTGAATATTCCAAAGTCTTCCATTATGGGGACAACCATTTTCATACCTATGTTGCACTGGGAGGCAACAGTTTGCTTGAAAAACTCCCGAATCTGAGACAGACGTGCTTATCCCTCTGGCTTTGTGCCCAGATGGTGGAGCCAGCATTTTCAACCATGTTGTTTTGTGTTGAGTTGAATGTCCTGGGAGAAAGTCCATCTGTGTGGGGTCAGGGACGTAACCCCTTATTAAGGAAGCACAATTCCTTCGCTAGTCCTCATCTATGCTTAGCCCCTTGCTTCACTCAATCCTCAGTTTTTTTCTTTTTAAAAACAGCTTTACTGAAACATAATTCACATACCATACAATTCAGCCTTTTAAAGTATAGGAGTTAGCTGGGCACAGCGGCTCATGCCTGTAATCCCAGCACTTTGGGAGGCCAAGGTGGGAGGACCACTTGAGGTCAGGAGTTCAAGACTAGCCTGGGAAACACAGTGAGACTCCATCTCTGCAAAAAATTTTAAAAATAGCCAGGCATGATGTTGTGTGCTTGTAGTCCCAGCTACTAGGGAGGCTGAGGAGAGAGGATTACTTGAGACTAGGAGTTCAAAGATGCAGTAGGCTAGGATTGTACCACCACATTTCCAACCTCAGTGACAGAACAAGTCTCTGCCTTTAAAAAAAAGTGTAGGAGTCTACTGTAAATGTGAATCTAAGAATCTGTAAAAAAAAAAAAAAAAAAAAAGGGTAGGAGTCAACGGTTTTCTGAATGTTCAGGGTTCCTCGACCAACCCGCCATCTTCCTCAGAACCTCTCAACACCACCAAAGGAAACTTGCCCCTCCGCCATCACTGCCCATGCCCTGCCGCCTTCCCCGGCCCTATGCAGCCACAACCTACTTTCCATCTCTACCAACTTACCTCACCTGAATATTTTTTTTTTGAGACAGATTCTCACTCTATCGCCCAGACTACAGTGCAATGGTGTAAACTCAGCTCACTGCAACCTCCACCTCCCAGGTTCAAGCAACTCTCCTGCCTCAACCTCCAGAGTAGCTGGTATTACAGGTATGCACCAGCACACCCAGCTCATTTTTGTATTTTCAGTAGAGAAGGGGTTTCACCACGTTGGCCAGGCTGTTTGTGAACTGATCTCAAGCGATCCACCCACCTTGGCCTCCCAAAGTGCTGGGATTACAGGCATGAGCCTGTGAGCCCGGCCTCCTGGACATTTAATATAAATGAACTCATGCCCCCTGTGATTTTGTGACTCAGCTTCTTCCACTGAGCACAGAGTTTCCCAGGCTCCTCCGCATCAGCATGCGCTGGTGCTTCCTTCCTCCTTTTCCACGGCCGAACAACACTCCACTGTCAGAGACATCACCTTTCCTGGTGACGTTCTGCCCTCTTCAGTGGAGAAAGGGCTTGGAATAGAAGGTGCTGCTGTTGGAGATGGGGAGGCTGTGGCTGGGAGCCCACCACGGGGAGTCGGCTGCAGGAAGAGCCTCCCCACCATCAACGTGGCCAGCAGAGTGAGCCATGAGCACAAGTCCACCCCTCCCAGCAGCTGTTGCTGTGACCCCAGCTGGCAACATCCCGGGAGGGCACCTGCAGAGGGAAGGCACACACCCTGCAGCGGCCGCAGGCCCATGTCACCTGGGCCACCGAGCGCAGGGCTTGTGGGTCATCACAGCATAATTCAGCCCTGACCCACAAGCCATGAGCCAACAGGGTATAGTTGAGCCATTCCTCCAGCACCTGTCACTGTTCTTCCACCTCCCTCTAAGCAGAGATGCGACTCGCTCCTCTTGCCCTCCTGGACGTCAGGGTTTCTGCCCCTGGGCTCCAGTGCTATGGTGTGGTCATCCTGACGCACTCCTAGAAGCTCAGCCACACCTCTGTGCCCTCCTGCACTGGGGCCTCCCCTCCTTTCTGGGTGGCTGTCTTTAGGGATGGCGCTAAAAGGGAGTGGTGCTTCCTTCACGTGCCTCCTTCCCACCTCTCTTCTAACAGGAATGTGTTCATGTGAAATACTGGAAAACCAGAGAAATATGAAGAAAATAAAAGTCACTACCCAGAGAGAACCACTATTCACAGTTTGGTGTATGTGTTGTAGCTTTTTCTGCTATCCACATTTTCACATAGCTGTCATCATGTTAGACATACAGTTTTGGATCCTGAGTTTTTCATTTACTTTCTACCACCTGCACTTTCTGATGTTATTAACAACTTTTTGCACAGTCCCTTTTCATATCTGCTTAACATCTGAATCATGTGAACGTAACATAGCTTTAAAGAAGCATTCCCATTTGTTTAATATTAACCATCTATCTACTGTTTTAAAATTGACATCAACATCACTGCAAAGAACATTTTTGCGCTTTAACTTTTCTTTAGTATTTTGGGTAATGGATTATTTTCTTGGGGCATATTCTCACAAATCAGATTGCTGGGTCACAGGCTACCACACTTAACGTGGCATGAACGTGCTGGCCAGTCAGTGTCCACTAGGATTGCGCCCAGCTGCACTCCCACCAGCTGCTTGTGAAAACAACCAGCTCACTTCCTGACATATGCATGGTCTTTTTCAATCTTCACAGATGTGTTTTCCTTTTTTCTATTATGGAGTAGTTGATCATTATACTTTAGAATTTTTAGGACATACCACCTGTTTTTGATGTGTCCTGTTTAAAGTTATCAACCATGAAATCAAATCTGCTTTAAAAATTCTTTGAAACCTGTTTTCCTCATATTTAGTATGCCCATGTAACAGCATCTAAACTCTCTTTCTACAACCTGTTCCAGGATCATGTGATTGCTTTATCCTTTTTTTTTTTTTTTGAGACAAGAGTGTCACTCTGTTGCCAGGCAGGAGTGCAGTGGTGCAATCTCACCTCACTGCAACCTCCACCTCCCAGGTTCAAGCAATTCTCTTGCCTCAGTCTCCCAAGTCGCTGGGACTACAGGTACATGCCATCACACCTAGCTAATTTTTTGCATTTTTAGTAGAGACGGGGTTTCACCGTGTTAGCCAGGATAGTCTCGATCTCCTGACCTTGTGATCCACCCACGTCGGCCTCCCAAAATACTGGGATCATAGGTGTGAGCCACTGTGCCCAGCTGTGACTGCTTAACCTTAAGCTATCATTTTCAGAACCCTTGTCGTTTTTTCTGTAATAACCACAATTACTCCAGAGTTATGAATTTCCAAGGAATTGATCCCGGGGTCACGTTAAAGTTTCCAATCACTACTTCCTCCTGAGGGAAATGGCCTAAAACCTTACAGCTGAAGCACTTGCTTACATTAGACAAGAACATGCAGAGCGTGTAAGCTCATAGTTTCAATTCCATATTGTGGTAAAATATGTGTCACATTAAAGTTTACCTTCTTAGACGTTTTTAAGTGTACAGTTCAGTGGCATTAATTACATTCACGCTGTCCATCAGTCATCACCACCATCCATCCCCAGAACTTTTCCACTGTCCCAAATTGAAATTCTACCGATTAAACACTGACACCCCGACTGTCCCCCAGGTCCTGGCCCCCTCACTCTACCTTCTGTCTCTATGAACTTGGCTACCCTTGGTATGTCACAGGTGTGAAATCATTTAATATTTGTCCTTTTGTGACTGGCTGATTTCACTCAGCATAACCTCCTCAAGGTCCATCCATGTTGCAGCAGGTGCCAGCACACACTTCCTCTTCAAGGCTGCGTACCATTCCACGACACTGATGGACCACGCCTCACTTATCCATTTGCCCATCAACGGACACCGGGCTGCTTTCGCCTTTGGCTGCTGTGCATAACTGCTACAAACGTGAGTGTGCAAACAGCTCAAGCCTCTGCTTCCTGTGTTATGGGGTACGTACCCAGAAGTGGAGCTGCTGAAGCATACAGCAACTCTATTTTTAATTTTCTAGGAAACCAGCATACTGTTTCCCACAGCAACTATGCCATTTTATATTCCCATCAGCAGTGCACAACTGCTCCAATTTCTCCACATTCTCACCAACACCTATTTTCAGGATTTTTTGTTTGTTTGTTTTTTTGAGATGGAGTTTCGCTCTTGTTACCCAGGCTGGAGTGCAATGGCGCGATCTCGGCTCACCGCAACCTCCGCCTCCTGGGTTCAGGCAATTCTCCTGCCTCAGCCTCCCAAGTAGCTGGGATTACAGGCACACGCCACCGTGCCCAGCTAATTTTTTGTATTTTTAGTAGAGATGGGGTTTCACCATGTTGACTGGGATGGTCTCGATCTCTTGACCTCATGATCCACCCGCCTCGGCCTCCCAAAGTGCTGGGATTACAGGCGTGAGCCACCGCGCCCGGCCCAGGCTTTTTTAATAGCGGCAATCCTGATGGGTGTGAGACTGTATGTTTATCTTTTGACTTTCTTTTTATTAACAAGGTCTGTTGGACATTTTAAAAACATATCCAAGCTTGATAAGATTATATATTCCTACATGTATCTTAAGAAAAGAGAGGGGGAAAGAAAGAGAGCATGCCAGAGGGAGAGAAAGAGCCCCTGCGGCTGGTGGCAGAATGTTCTGGACTCGCAGCCACCCCCCTTGCACCCTGGGCTGCTGCACCCCTGGCCTGCCAGCCACGGGCTAACCCAGTCACCATGGCAACAATAAATCTGAGCCAGCAGTGCGGGAACACTTCTATCACTCCCCGTCTGCCACGCAAAGCAGTTTTCCACGATTAGGCACCACCGGCTTTGCTATTTTCTAGACCTTCAGTGCACTGTAGAAAAACATCAAATAGTGTCTGTTTCTATAAATCAAGGCCTGGATATGTGTATTTACATTGAAATTGCTTTTCTCTTCCAAAGAATCCACAGTCATTATCTGGATATGATGTTGAGACGACTCCACGTCTTGGAGGCAAGTCAAGGCTGGAGAGAAAAATGTCTGAGAATGATCACAGCCCAACATCATCCAGGTCAGCCTTTGTCAACGAGCGGTTGAGGGGGAACAGCCTCAGCTTTTATTCCGCTGGAGCTACTTACAGCTCCAATTAAATTAAACACACCTGCTTCCATTATCCTCAAAAGCTGTGAGTCCAGGCAAACCACACAGGGTTTTCAATATCACGATTCGTCTTAACGCTGCCTCCAAATAGAAGCTGCACAGAGATGCCAGGGAGCCCCTGGGGGATTTGGGCTGGGCCGAACCCACCACCTGCCCCCCACACTGCACCCCACGAGCTGCAGTTCCCTCTTGTCCCACTGGGCACAGGAATCTCCCCAAACAAGAGACAACAGCAGAAGCTGCCCCCAAGGACCCGCTCTCCTCTTGGCACCTCCAGCATGGCTTCCCTCCTGACCGCAGGAGCTGCCTAGGCACAGACATACAGGTGCACCCAGCCCCAAGATTCTGTCCAGAACCCAGGGCTGGTCCCACCCAGGGTGCAAGAGCTCCTGGGTTTGGCTTCTTAGCCCCTCAGAGGCATCCACCTCGGCTCCCTTGGGGTGCCCAGTGCAGGAAGAACTGTTCTGAAAAGCTCCAGGATGGCCACTCCCCAGGTCAGTGCCATGACCTGAACCCCAGCTACCTGTCAGCACCCACGTATGTGCAGAGACTAGTGGGTGTGAGGCACCTCTGGGCAGACCCCACCATCCTGGCTGGGATTAAATCCACTCCTCTCCACAGTCTGAGGACAGACAGGCCAGGCGCTGGGGAAAGACAAGGCCTCCCTCAGCACGCCCCAGGCCCAAGCACAGCCCCCGATTTGGGGAAAGGTGGCTCCACCCAGTGCTTTTCTGAGGATGCTCGAGTTTCCCCCTACCCTGTGTGTTCAGAGCCCACAGCACCCAGTTCAGCATTAGACAGGACTGGGCAGCCTCTGCCCTGGGAGAGGCCCTCTGTCTGACCACACCAGAGGGAAGGGGCTCCACAGGACCTGCTGCTCCCCATATTTCATCATAACTGCCATCCTCGTGGGCTTTCAGCCCAGCCTGAAAACAAAACATTTGAACGTGTTTTCTTATCCGCCTGAATAAAAGGAAAATCCGTGGCTTAAAGGATGAAAAACCTGGCCGGGCATGGTGGCTCACACCTGTAATCCCAGCACTTTGGGAGGCTGAGGTGGGCAGATCACCTGAAGTCAAGAGTTCAAGACCAGGTCAACATGGTAAAACCCCATCTCTACTAAAAATACAAAAATCAGCCGGGTGCAATGGTGGGCACCTGTAATCCCTGCTACTTGGGAGGCTGAGGGGGGAGAATCCCTTGAACCCATGAGGTGGAGGTTGCAGTGAGCTGAGATCATCGTGCCACTGCACTCCAGCCTGGGGGACAAAGAGAGACTGTCTCAAAAGAAAACAAAGAAAAAGATGAAAAACCAGCCAAGGGACAGAGACCCAGTAAAACAAGATCAGAAAGTAAGAGTCAGTGCGAGCAATAAGCAGCCAGAGTTCAGGGACCCTCTCCCCCATCCACCGAGGACACTGCCCATGGCTCCGGGGCTCCACCTGCCTTTCCTTGTCAGAGCGCCTGGGCAGCCCCAGCTCCACACCTGCAGCAGGGCTCACCAAGCTGGGCACTGTGCAGGGTCGGCAGGAGAGAGGCAGACCAGGTCCACAGCCGGGACCCCACACTCACCGTTCACACAGGCCTCAGATGCTCCACAGAGCCCGTCCTCGAGTAGGCAGCCTGCAGGGAAACAGAGGAAAGACGCGGTCAGCAGGAAGAGGAGAGGGGTCTCCCGAGATCACTGCCCTGGCCCACTTTTGAGGCTTAGAGAAAGTGCCAGCCACTGAGCTGGCTCCTCTGACCAGGCTCCTCTGACCCAGCTCTTCCAAGCTGATGTGGACAATTCTGAAGCTAGAAAGATGCACCCCTGACTTGCCACATGTGAGGCCTCCTGGCCCTTGTCCCAGAGCCTAGCTCCTACCTGGACCAGGTTCTCCGCTGAGGGAAAGCCTGGGGATAAAGTCATCACAGGAGACTCCTGGCCAGTGGGAGCAGCAGCAGGGCTGGGGCCTCCCCTTGAGGCCTACCCTGGGCCTGGCACCTCCCTCCTCTGGGCCTCACGCCCATTGCGCCCACCACATCCCACGAGCACCACATCCCCTGCCAAGCAAGGCTGCAGGGCCCCAGGGAGCAGAGTTGCCGCGAGAGCCCCGCTATATCAGAAGCAAACCGTGGCGTCTGTGGCCACAGACGAGAGACACAGGAGACGGCAGGGGAGGAAAGGAGGCAGTGGAGGCAGCAGAGACGAAGACCAGTAGGAAAAGCCAGTGTGGCAGGGCCAGACCCTAGACAAGATGTGGGGTGGAGGGCTCCTGGAACTCCACCCAGGAAGGGGCCCCCGAAAGCTCCCCAGTGCCTGGGAGGCCGGTGACCGCAAGCCACACACTCACTGCAGCTGGGCAGGCTGGCAAAGGCCAGCATTTGGCTCTACATCCAAGCCCCTCTTTAACACAAAGAGATGGGTCCAGAACACACCACCCCACTGGGGAGCAGGGCATGAGCCCCCAGGACACCTGAACCAAGAGAGCCCCTGGGCCATGACGTGGGAGTCACACCTGCCAGCAAAGGGCAGGCAGGGTCTGTACACACCGTGTCTTTCACCCCTTCCTGCAAAGCACAGTGCCTTCAATCCTGTTTCACCAACCAACAAATGCCTGTTCATCCACTAAGATCCCTCCAGAAGCCCCAGACTCAGGCTGTCCAGCATGCCCAGCATCCATCTCCGGACTCACCACACTATGCGGTGACTGTGGATTTAGGGTGTTTGCTCCTCTCCTAGAGTTCAGGAATTGGGTGCATGTCTCTTTCCACCCTCTCCAGTTTCCTCCCATGCCCCCTCTGCGTCTGGCACAGGGCTGGTGCGCAGGAGCAAATGGGTAAATGAAGGAACTGAAGGATCCTGAGAAAGTCATGAGTTACTGAGGGACTCACCCCCAGGGTCACTTTGAAGTTTCCAGTGACTACTTCCTCATGAGGAAGCTGGCCAAGAACCCTCACAGTGGAAGCACTCAGTTCCTTAAAGGAGCCCTGGGGAGGCGCAAAACTAAACATCATTCCATAACTCAGGCAGCCCGGAGCCTAACAGGGTGGGATGTGGGAGCTCACAGGAGGAGGCGGCCTTGCTCGTCCCACAACAGTTTCACAAGCCTTGCACGGAAGGAAGCAGCAATCACAGGGCGGCCCCTGGCTGGGGTCTGCTTCCTCCCAGGAGGTGGCCTGGGTGCAGCCCCGGGTGCACCTCTCCTGGCCTGCCCAGTCCAGCACCTACCACCGGTGCCCGCCATACCAGCCAGAAGTCACGGGGAACAGGCGGGTGGACACCCAACGATGGGAGCCTCCAATCCAAGCAGATTCCGTTTTTCTGAAATAACATAATCTCATGAAAAACAGCATTGCATTGCAATTTTTTTTGAGATGGAGTCTCACTCTGTCTGCCACGCTGGAGTGCAGTGGCACAATCTTAGCTCACTGCAACCTCTGCCACCCAGGTTCAAGCGATCCCCCTGCCTCAGCCTCCCAAGTGGCTGGGACTACAGGCGTGAGCCACCACACCCAGCTAATTTTTGTATTTTTAGTAGAAATGGAGCTTCACCATATTGGCCAGGCTGGTCTTGAACTCCTGACCTCAAGGGATCCATCTGCCTTGGCCTCCTAAAGTGCTGGGATTACAGGTGGGAGCCATGATGTCCAGCTAACATTTTACTTCCTAATTTCATTTGCACATGAGCTAACCCCACACTCAGTCTGTGTTTGCTGCGTTATTTCTTCATTCAAAAGTGCCTGTGCCAGGTGGTGAGGCAGAGGAGGTGAATGGCCAACAGGACCCTGGCTGGGAATGTTCTGAGAGACCCACACCTGGTGCTTGAACAGCAGGAAGAGAGGCAGACACTGCTCCCCACAAAAGCAGTCACCTTGAAAAGATCAGCATGGAGGTTAACGGACCTCTCAGATCCTCACACACTGATCTCCGAGGCTCCCCTCACTGCCTCCCAGAGGAAGAGCCTCAGCAGTGAGGGCCCCTCCTGCCCCAGGCACACAGAGGGTCCCAGAGCATGAACTGGGAGCAGTAAGGATGCGAGCACACATGAAACGTGCTGGAGGTCAGCCCGCTGTCGTGGAAGGGCTCTGGTCCTAGCTCTGGCAGGAGCTGCAGTACTCTGCCCAGGATTCCAGGGTGCATCTCCAGTGCAGGAGAGAGACCCTGGGGGAAGGCAGATGCAGGGACCCTGCAGGCAAAGCCCACGTTCTAACTCTGTCTTTGTCATATGGAAATGGCAGGCGACGGAGCTCTGCCAGGAGAGGCACCAGGAAGAAAGCCTCTGTTTTCTTCACGTCTCTGCCTTAATCATGGTTGACAACTCAATGTGCTCTGAACGAGATGTGCATCACAATTCTCTCTCAGATCCTGACCTTGGAAAACCACCTGTTACTGGCATGTGCCCAGCCTGATTCTGACTCCAGAGGACTGATGAAAACCTGTATCGGAAAACCCTGCAGCACTCCTTAGTGAAAAGGCAAACACAGCAGCAACATGTCACATTATTACCAGAGTTGCAAATGTTATGCATATTTCTCCCAGCCAGTTGATATGCTAATTTAACTGCTAAGTTATTTGTGTTATTTGCTCTGAAATTAAGAAATAACATATTTCATTTTCAGTATCAGCCACCTCCTAATAATAATGACCGTAAATCATACAGACAAAAAACAGTTTCTCTGGCAGACCCTGGTTCAACCCAGCCCAGGAGCCTCAGGGCATACGTTTTTCTCAAGTGGGCTCCATGCCCCACATGTGGCAGCAAGTGGCGCACTGGACTTGTGCACCCTGTTGGCTCATGGACGGCATACACCAAGGTCCAGACATCATTCTGAGGCCAATAAGCTAAATCCACAAGGAAAGCCAACAGCAGCCTGTGGGGCCCTTCGTGTGTGTTCAACACTCAAAACTGGAATTCCTTCACTTCAATGTATTATCCACACTTTTGCATGAAAACATATGACATTCCCAAAATTGTCAAATTGCTCCTCTGCTCAACCCTATAGCAGGGCTATGGTACTCAGGGGTTCCTCCTTACTTGGTGTCCACAGGGTGTCCCTCCCACTTTAGCACAGAGACAAGCACGTGCAGTCATGCATACATGCACACACACACACATGTTCATGCATACGTGCATACACAATGCACACATGTGCACAAACACGTGCACACATGCACACAGTCACACACCTCTGCACTTACAGGCACACACGTGCATGTGTACACACACATGTGCACACACACCCGCACGTGTTTACATGCACACCTACATGCATACACACATGCACTCATACATGCATGCACACATGCACACAGCCATGCCCATTCACATGCACACTCATGCATGCATGTGCACACACGTGTACACGCATGTGCACGCCTACATGCATACTCATATGTGAATGCATATATCTGCAGATATGGACATGCAGTCATGCATGCGCAAACACATGCACACATGCACATATATACATACATATATGTACACAGAGACCTGTGCATACATATACATACATGCACACCTACATGCATATGCATATGCACGCAGTCATGCCCATTCACGTGCACGCTCATACACATGCACGAGCATGCCTATATGCATACACACATGCACACACTCATACATGTATGCATATAGCTGCAGGCATGGACACACAATCACGCATGTGCATGCACGTTTAAACACACGCATTCGCACCTGGGTACAGTCATGCATACATGCATGCACGCTGATCTTGTTCCAATTCTGCTTCCCTACTATTTCCTCAGAACTCTTGTTCCTCAGAACTCTTGACACCATAATCTTGTCACCATTATGGTGTCCCTTTTTTCTTACCCTTCTCAAGCTGAAAATGGATCCAATTCTGCAAGGAGCCAGACTGGATCTGCCTCTCATACCCCAGTTGCTCCTAAGAAATGTTTATGGAGGGTTTGTAGTTCATTGCGGAAATACAGTAACTGTGAACAGAGTCCACCACCTCCCTCACTGGCTGGAAGCAAGAGAGCTGCTGGACCCATCCTGTCCCACAGGCACCTGCTCTGCTCCCTCCCATCTCTGGGCATCGCTGTAGCCAAGGCAGACATGACCTAAAACTCCACAGCACCCGCCCTACCGTGTCTCTACCCCCACTGTGCAAGGCCCTCCCCGGGTTCAGGCTTCTCACCTGTGGAAGGGAACTGAAATGACTCCCTCACCTGCCCACAGGTCTTTGACTGCAAAGCAGGCCATGTAAGAATTAGATAGGTTTTGTGACCTAGTAACACAAGAAAATGGTTAACATAGAAGCGAATTCTCTCACCAAAACACAAAACACTTTCCCTCTCAGACCACATGAACAGGATCGGTGATTTGGGATCTTCTACAAATCAGTAGAGTTTTAGAAGCCAAATGTATTCTCAGCTACTTTTCTTATAGCTGAGAGCTGATAACACTACACAACCAAGAAGAATTTAACATCGGAGCCAAATGAAACAAACCAGAACAAAGTCCATCTGAACGTGCATTACAAGGCATCTGTTCATACCAAGATTATAACAGTGTTCTCACACACCCATTTTCTCCCACTTCAGTTTCCCTCTTCTCTGTGAGTTCTCCAGCCCAGTAAGTCAGAACACTGAGCAGTAACTTTCCCAATACACTGTG